AGGATCGAATTGCATTGTAATCACAAACTGTATGGAGGGATACAATTCACATTTAATTCAGAGTGAATCATACATACCCACTGCCTCGCTAATTAGAACCTATAGGATCGCACACCAAAAAGGAATCGATTGGGAAATTATGAAGAGAATGAATAATTTTGTGACTTGGTCAAAGTCAATGTGAAAGTCAAAGGTCAATGTCAAAAGTCAAAGGTCAAATGTTTGACCCGACACTTGACACGGTCAACTAAGGATGATTGGGACCAACACTTCGTTAAGCAAGTGAGTGATTGAATTAGTCAAGTCACTAGAGTAATTAAATTGATTAGATTAATTAACTATTCAATTAAAATTATGAAATTTTAATTAAAGGTCCCATATGACTTGGAAATTCAAAAGGGATTTGACCATATGGACTTAAGCACATATGTGACACATTATAGGATTAATGCGTTGGACCACGATAGCAAATGACGACACACAGAGGGAGGGGAGGGGGGGGGGGGGGGGGTGTGGTGAGGGGACACTAGGGTTTGGGGGCATTTTTGTCACTCTTATGACATTTTTGATCCTATAAGTGTGTAGCTATGGAATCCTATCATCCTATGGTTTTCAAGTTGAAAAAATTGGAAGAGAGAAAACATCAAGCTCTCTCTTCCTAACCCCTTGAGTCTATCACATCAAGTTAGGGTGCTAGCCACTACTCTTCACTTGTTCTCTACTCATTCTCTCATCTCATTCAATCATTGGTGAAGAGCTTTGGGGAGATGCATTTGTACCTATTTGGAGAGCTACAAGGTGGAGAATCAACATCAAAGGGAAAGACCAACAACAAAGGGACCACTCCCTCTACTTGAATACCATTCTTGGTTTCAAGATTCGCTCCAAGGGTATGAACATATTATCTTTCTCTCAAATAGGATTTAGAGAGTCTTTGGTGCGCACTTTCATGGACTTATAAAGATTGGGACCAAATGAGACTTGCATGAATCCCTAGTTTATTTAATGCTTCCGCTCTTACTTTGATTTCATATTAAATATGGCATGCTAGGTGATTTATACTTTCAAAGTTTGGTTGTAGAGTTTTTAAAAATCTCTACGCAATACTATTCCCACAATATTCCCTTTAGATCCGAATGGGCCCTAAATGATTAAACGAAGCAGCCACTACTATAACCGATGCTAGCCATTCACTCAACTTCTCTCAAAGCAAGATAAGAAATCATCTAAACCCATCCACTTTGACTTTCACATAATACTAAATTACCAACAAGTTTACATATTTCTAATGGTCATTAACATACATGTCATATTATTTCACTTATGTGCATGCCAATTAGATGCCTATATCAGGTGCAGTTTAACATGATTCGGAACTTTTACATTCATAGAAAGATGCTCAAAGAGTATGCTTCTGGTCAATTAACTTGGCTTTTGCCTCAATAAAATTATATTAAATTGAATGCTACTAATTGCTACAGTAACAAGTAAAACAATTTTTACATATGCCCAGTGCAAGTAACTTGGTTGGTCTCCAAGTCGAGATATGCTTTACTCTGATCGCGTTTCTTTTTAAAAGACTTCTATATGATATTAGCTATGCGAACAACAACTTCTGTCAAAAATTTCCCAATGCAATGGTTTACTCTCTCCGCTATGTATATTATTGCTTAAGTCTATTATGGAAGTTATGTCCTAATAATTCTTGGTTATCTTTTCAATATAGTTAGCTTATACAGGTATGAACTAGCTCAACTATTATATTTCTTGAAATTCTTAATTAATGTTGTTGAAGAAAAATGTAAACCTCCAAACATAATTTCACCACCACTAATCAATTAATGGGAAAAAATTATGTTGAAGGAAAATATGAACCTCCTAACATAATTTCACCACCACTAATCAATTAATGGGGTTTTATTATTTTAGGTTCGACCCATTCAAGACGCAAGTCTCTTAATTACAATCCCTCGCTACAAGGGAAAACCCTTTGATTCCATCATAAAGAAATAGAACGTATGTGTTTGGTTTTGCGGCTGCTCCCAAGTTCAACCTCAGGGTGCCTACGTATTCTTTGCAGGAATCAAGCCACTCGTAGTTCAAAGATTCGCAATGAATAGATGACTGATTGCAAAAAGGGGGAATTTGAATGAATTTGATTTAGGGGTGTTTGAATTTAGCTGAATAAGCCAGGGATTCGATATGGAGTTGTGTTTGGGATGGTTGCATCTAGATTGAATGTCTAGATTGCCTACGTACCCTTTCAAAGGGATCAAACCAACGTAGTTCGGAATGATTTTTGTGGAGATTTGATTGGTGAGAATTTGGTTGCGGTAACCAGTGATTCAAATTTGGTTGCGGTTGCGTCTATTGGGATGTTAGACTGCCTACGTACCCTTGATGGGATCAAACCGATGTAGTTCCAAAATTTGAAAATTAATGGGTAAGTGTGGCCCAATAATTTAGAATTGTTGTCTTCGAGACGATTTGAAGATTTTCATAGGTAGATGACATATGGGAAAAATTGGAAATTAATAGGTAAGTGTGGCCCAATAATTTAGAATTTGTGTTTGAGATATTTGAATTTAATCTCATTGGAATTTTCATGAGTAGATGACCCACGAGAAGAAATTAGAAATTAATGGGTAAGTGTGGCCCAATAATTTAGAATTTGTATCTTTAAGATAATTTGAAGATTTTCATAGGTAGATGACCTATGAGAAAAATTGGAAATTAATGGGTAAGTGTGGCCCAATAATTGAGAATTTGTGTTTGAGATATTTGAATTTAATCTCATTGGAATTTTCATGGGTAGATGACCCATGGGAACAATTGGATGGTTTTGTACCATTTTTCCTCTTTGTTAATGTCCAAGAAAAATAATGAGCAATTTTAATTAACCCACTAATTTTCTAAAATTAACATTATTTGGACTTGGGCCCAAATATGGCAATGAGGATTGTTGAATTAATCCATTAACCATATGATAGGAAATCTAGGCCTATATGAATTTAATAGGTAATTATTTGGATCACTCATTAAATACTATGGGCTTTTGAGAGTTAATGGGCAATTATTTTTTACAGCCCATTTTTCTGTTTCGGGCCTTTGATATTTGTTCATAGTTAGCCCACGAACAAGGAGCCCAAAGGAGCTTTGGTCCAGCAAGCGATTGAAACAACCTGATAACTATCCAACTCTTTGTAGAGTTTGTTTCCAAGTAAAATCAGACCTTGCAGTCCCATATTTATCTGGAATACTGGTGATCAGTCCGAATTAAGAGCAAACATTGTTACTGTTCAGTCTTTAAAAGAGTACACAAAGTCACAATCAGTACAGAGCCTCTGCAAACAAAAGGAGGAAACCATAAGAAAAAGCTGCCGCAACATATTAAGAGGTTTCAGACTTCTTTTGTCTTTTTCCTCTTTTTAATTCTCCGCAACACTAAGTTTCTTGTGCCTTTTTTTTCTTCCAATCTCCAACAAGATGACGGGAGCCACCTTCTTCTCTCTTTTTTTTGTTTTGACTTTTCTTCCTCTTTTTGATGCCTGTAGCAAACCTTCTTTTTATTTTATTTTTTTATTGTCAAACATCATGTCCTATATTTTGGTTGTTTAAGAAACCAACAGATGGGGCATTCAATGCATGGGCTGCCCCAACGTGGCTCTTCCCAAGTTCTGCTTCTTTTCCTTTTTTTTTATACCCCTGTTTCCTTTTGGCTGGCACCTTTCTCTCCTTTTAACCCAGCAACATCCACGAAGTGGCATACGGCCACTTTCTTTTCTTTTCTTTTCGGTGGCTGTCTCTTTTTGTTTATTGTTGCTATATGCAACACCAAGCCAGGAATTCAAAACGTGGCTGCAAATCCTTTTTTTTTTTAAGTCTATTGCGTCTATATGCAAACTTCTTGCAGGTCTCCATTTTTTTTTCTGCCTGTTCTTTTCTTCACAACTAACTTCCCTTTTTTTTATGTAGTTTGTTCAGTGAGGAAAGTAAAGGCTTTCAGAGGCAGAGATGGAGATGAATGGTCAGAGAGTCCAAGAGGTAACTCAAGCCTTTTTTTTGTGTGTATACATTTTGGGCTGAACCCTCAAAACACCATTTCTGTTTCATAGGATTTTCTTTTGCTCGGCAGAGCTTTGTTGAACAGAAATCCTCTCATGGATTTGCTGCTCATGATTTAAGGGTTGCCACCCATTATGGATTTATCATCCAACAAAATGATTTAAGGGTTGCCACCCATCATGGATTCATCATCCAACACAATGATTTAAGGGTTGCCACCCAACAAGCATTAATTGAAAGAATCAACATACCTGTGAAAAGTATTCTCTTGTGCTTGTGCTCTTGCAATTTTTCTCTTGCAGCAGTTTTCTTCTTCTGTCGTTTCTTTTCTCCTCCTTTTTTTTCTTTCTTTACTGCTGTCCCTTTTATAAACCAAGGGCCTTCTTAGTGTATGAAAACTGATTAATCAACCCCCCAAAAATAGGAGCCACTAACCTCTCTTAAGAGTTTTCATTGGTTTAGACCCCCACTTCTCTACCCTCAACTTTCTGCTTGTTAGATGTGGCTAATAACAAATATCAAAATCATGGGGCTTATCCAACCCACGTTTCCATTTTATTTTTTTGTGATTTTCTTTATTCCAACAAATGTAATGTTTTTCTACACTAATGCATTGATAATTAATGGAACCTGATCCGAGAGTGCATATCGGTTCAGTTTGGACCAGTTTTGCTTAAAATTCATACAGAAATCTGAACCAACCCGGACCTAGCCAGTTCCGGTTTGGATATTTTTTTTTTCATATTTTGCCCAAAATGTATTTATATACTAACATATCCCAAATTTGAGGTTCTATCAAGCTTTCAACACATCAAAATGAATCCAACTTCAAGAAAAATACAATCCAACTTCAACATATAAATTACAACCCAAATTCAATCAAACTTCAACAAAATAAGTTCCAAAATAAATTACTAGCCAAATACAACCCAAATTCAATCCAAATAGACATTACAACCCAAATTCAATCCAACTTCATTAAATTCCTCATAACATTGAAAAGTAATTGGATCTATGGTGCTAGGTGTGGATGAACTCATAATATCTACATAAAAAAACATAAACCCATTAAAACATTAGTCAAACATACATATTATATAATACATTAATAAAGCACATAAAATTACAAAGGCATACCTAATTCAATCGATTCATAGAACTCCATCTCTTGAATTGTTGGCTCATATTGTAAAGAGGATATGTCATCCGACCTTAACCAATTTTGAGAGCAAATTAAGGCCTCCACAATCTTAGGAGTCAAAGAATCACGAAATGAATTAACTACCTGACCACCCGTGCTAAAGCATGATTCCGAAGCCACCGTTGATACCGAGATGGCAAGCACATCCTTTGCAATAAGTGTCAACCTCGGATACTTAACCCCATTCAATTTCCACCACTTCAAAACATCGAAATCGTCAACCACATCTTCAATAGGGTCGGTGATGTACCTATCAATCTCATGTTCCAATACCACAACATCATTTACTCGAGTCTCTTTTCTTCAATTTTCAGTCATTTGCCTTCGTTTCTTTCCCCCTCGGCTTAGGCTACTACTTGTATTCATTGTAGTAGTATCACTAGAACAATAATTACTACTTTGAGTAGGTGGTGGTGGTGGCGACATGGCATACTCTTCATAAAGCTTCTTTAAAATCTCTTTGATCTCATTCTTCTTCTTAATCGCATCTTCCGGATTTTCAAACCGGCTTTTCAAGATAAACTTCAAGTTCCCCAATTTGTATCGAGGGTCAAGAACAAGAGCAACCATCAAAATTTGGTTCAATTTATCAAGGTCACCCCAATACTTTTTAAACTTCATCTTCATGTTCAGTGCCATGTCCTTCAAAACCTTGGAGGTTTGGGTTTCACTTACTATTTCCTCCTCTTCCATCAACAAGTCCTCAATTTCTTCTTCCATTGCAATCAAGTCATGAAATGTGGTGTGGGAAGCGGGATGCAAAGTGACACTCATCTTCAATGTAGCATCATAAAATACCTTTAAAAAATTCACAAAAGTACGAGCATTGTTCCAATCCTCATTAGATGGTGGCCCTTCCCTCTTTCTAGGGTAATGAGACATAACCACCCCATCTTCGAGATCTGGTTCATCTTCACCAAACCAAGAAATATATGGGCCTTCATCATCTTCTCCCATTCTCCCAAAGGCTTTTTCAAACTTTAAGGTGGCTTCCAACATCATATATGTGGAATTCCACCTTGTTGGCACATCCAACACCACAAGCCCTTTGCATTCAATTTGCTCTTTCTTAACACAACTCTTAAAGTCCTCTAACCTTTTGAGAGAAGATCTTACTTACTTCACCGCATTTCTTATACACAATATGCTTTTTTCCAACTTATTCAACCCATCACGAACTATCAAATTTACAATATGAGCATAACACCTAATGCGCATATAATTTCCCTCTAATAGAAGACTATCATTTCCCCAATGACCCATTTTCGACTTCAAGTAATCTATGACCTTTTTTTTTAAGAAGCATTATCGACTGTGATGGTTAATATCTTCTTCATATCCCAATCAAGCAAACATGACTCGAGGAGTTTACCAATTGAGTTCCCCTTGTGATTGAAAATGACACAAAAATTCAAGATTCTTTTGTGCAAGTTCCAATCACTATCTATGAAGTGTGTCGTGACGACCATGTAATTGATGTTTTGGATACTGGTCCAAGTGTCCGTTATGAGGCATACTCTATGTGGTGCTAATTCTTCTTTCAATTTTTGTTTCATGGCATCATACATTACCATGAAATGCCTCACAAGTGTCCTACGAGATGACACTTAGAAATGGGGATTCAAAGAATTACAAAACCGCCTAAACCATTTTCCATCAACCACACTAAACGGCATCTCATCCATTACTACCATGCATTGTAGATGTAAGAACCCTATGTTCTTGGTCAAAAGACGAGCTTTTGCCGTTTATCTTTAAGAACCCTCCCCGGATATTTCTTACATAGGTTTTCAATATGCTTCATCAAATTTGAAGTCTCATTTCTAATAGTCTGTTGCATAGCTCATAGTGCAATACTTGCACCTAGCTCTCTTCGTAGTGGTTGCATTTTTTGCTCCCATCCTCCTTCACACTCTCAACCACTTCTTCATATCTCTCAAAGTGATCTCATACTTCCGATTTCTCCTCTTGGGCTGAAATGAGGTAATGGTGGAAAACCACTAGGTTGAGGTTATGTTTGGGCACGATGTGTATTTTGAGTTAGTGTTTGAGGGATGGGTAAATTGGGCAAAGGTGTTGATGTAGATGCGGATGCGGATACATATGTGGATATGGATGCGGATGACGAACCAACTTCACTATTAGTAGTGGCATGCACCTCTCCAAATGGGTTCGACTCATTCATGATTTTTTTAAGAAACAAAAAACAAAAAACAAAAAACTTGACATGATATTAACAAAAACACAACTTAAACATGATAAACAACACCTCATATATACAATCCAATTACAAATTATCATGCAAACTTTTTTGCACCAGCATATATAGCATGTATTTAACACAAACTCAACGTATAGCAACACTTACCATTATACAAAGCATATAGCACATTATCATTATACGAAGCTTCATTTCCAACTAAATGATAATATCAACACTTAACTAGCAAGCAACTGAAAAACAGAAACCAATTAACTAGACTTAAGCAAAGCAAGAAAATAAAGAGTTTCAAACTGCAGTTTTGACAAATCTGACCTATGTTCAGTTTTTAGTCTTTAACTTTCAAACTACTAGCCCAATTTTGACGTTCTTTGCATCATTGGATTCAGCACGAAAAAACAAAGAACCCTAAGCAAGCCAATTTCTCACAATATGCCTATGATAGCAGTAATAAAGCAAAACGAAAAACTGAAAATTTGAAAATCTGCAAAACTAAAAAACTGAACAGAAAATCTGTTATGCACTGTCAATTAATCAATTAGAATGCATAACTAATTAATAAATTTGCATGCACAACTACTAAAACTTATTAGACTGTTATGCACAACCAATTAATCAATTTGATAACTCTCTAGGGCTGCCATGATAATCAATTCAAATTTCTAGGGCTGTCATGCTAATCAATTCCTGGGCAAACTTTGATTTGGGCCCATGATCAAGCAACATGAATTTGGCAGATGAAAACAATTACAAACAGAGGAAATTTATCCACAAAAATAATTAAAAAATCTACATAAAGTAGCAAAACTGTTGCTGGAATACCTCAGAAAGTGGCAGAATTACTGCTGGAAGGTGCAAACTGCTCCAGAAATTTCCTGCTAATCTGCACGAAATGCTGCAAAACTGTTGAATGGTGCGTGCTATTGGGACAATGCCTCTTGAAGTCTCCTACAAAAACAAAACTTCCATCAATGAATGGTGGCTTGATTGTCCAAAACGTTTAGCATGCAGTGTGAATCAACCTCATAATTTCTATACACAACTTTCAATTTATAGAAGATTTCTAGGGCTGCCATTTTATTATAATCAAACCTCCATCAATTTGAATCCATTTGATAAATTTATAGGACAACTATTTTATTTTAATCAAACCTAAATCAATTTAAACCACAATCCTAAATCAATTTGAAAAACACCCTTTGCAAACGCAAACAATAACAAAACTAATAACCACACCCCAGCTAGGTGGATAAATAAACTAAACTTGGCAGCATAACAAAGAAACTCAAATTCTCAAAATAGTTTATGGCGAATCATACCTAACAGAGAGAGAGAGAGAGAGGTAAATAAAATGAAGAGGTGGTTGCAAATTGCTGTGCTGAATCTGCGAATTGCAGACAGATAGAGTTAGCCAGAGATTCGAAGGGGGAAAAGAAAAAAAAGAAAAGACAATCTGACCTGTGATAGCGGCAACTGAGAGAGGTGGTGGCTTAGAGAGAAGTGGAGGCTGAGAGAGGCATTGGATGACAGAGGCGCGGTTGATAGAGAGGTTTGCCTAAGAGGAGGTTTTGCGCAGAGAGGATCGGCGCAGACAGAGCCTCTGTCAGAGAGGATCAGAGAGAGAGGTAGGTTTGGCAATGGCGCACACAAAGCCTCTGTCAAAGAAGTTTCGATGGCTGAGAAGGAAAGGAGAGAGCTCAGAGAGGAACAAAATTAGAGAAGGAAAGAAGAAATGAAACCCTAATTGTGTTATAATTTTTTGCTAATCGTGTGCATGCACGCCTATGGTTACGTCATATACAACCAATAAAAAAGAGTTTATGATAAATTGAAGAAATGAGAGGTGTGTAGGAGAGGTATGTACCAAAGACAACATGCTCCATGAACTGGTGCTTGGGCGATGACTTCATTATGAAAGCACAACAAATATGGTATATTTCAAAACTCCACAAACTATCTTGGTTCGTATCAATTGTTTAACAATATCATTGGATCCTTTGTCAATCTCCAACAAAATTTCACCTAAGGCCAATAGTACCTTAAGGAAAAATCAAATCCATGCAGATCCTAACATCACCCCAAGGTTACCAATCCTCTAGGGGCGATCAATTGGGTCAATACCAATCAATTTGAAAAACATCCTAAATCAATTTGAACCACAACCCTAAATCAATTTGAAAAACACCATTTTCAAACACAGACAATAACAAAACTAAGAACCACACCCCAGCTAGGTGGAGAAATAAACTAAACTTAGCAGCATAATAAAGAAACTCAAATTCTCAAAATAGTTTATGGCGAATCATACCTGATAGAGAGAAAGAGAGGTGGTTGCAAACTGCTATGTTAAATCTGCGAATTACAGACATATAGAGTTAGCTAGAGATTCGAAATGGGAAAATAAAAAAAAACAAGAGACAATCTGATCTGTGATGGCGGCAACTGAGATAGGTGGCGGCTTAGAGAGAAGTGGAGGCTGAGAAAGGCTTTGGATTACAGAGGCGCGGTTGATAGAGAGGTTTGCCTGAGAGGAGGTTTTGCGCAAAGAGGATTGGCGCGGACAGAGCCTCTGTCAGAGAGGATGAGAGAGAGGTAGGTTTGGCAATGGTGCACACAAAGCCTCTGTCAAAGAGGTTTCAGTGGCTGAGAAGGAGAAGAGAGAGCTCAGAGAGGAACGAAATTGGAGAAGGAAAGAAGAAATGAAAACATAATTGCGTTATAATTTTTTGCTAATTGTGTGCATGCACGCCTATGGTAACGTCATATACAACCAATAAAAAAGAGTTGATAATAAATTGAAGAAATGAGATGTGTGTAAGAGATGTATGTACCAAAGCCAACATGCTCTATGAACTGGTGCTTGGGCGACGACTTCATTATGAAAGCATAACAAATGTGGTATATTTCAAAACTCCACAAACTATCTTGGTTCGTATCAATAATATCATTGGATCCTTTGTCGATCTTTTACAAAATTTCACCTAATGCCAATAGTACCTTAAGGAAAAATTGAATCTATGCAGATCCTAACATCACCCCAAGGTTACCAATCCTCTAGGGGCGATCAATTGGGTCAATACCAATCAATTTGAAAAACATCCTAAATCAATCTGAACAACAACCCTAAATCAATTTGAAAAACACCCTTTGCAAACACAGACAATAACAAAACTAAGAACCACACCCCAGCTAGGTGGAGAAATAAACTAAACTTGGCAGCATAACAAAGAAACTTAAATTCTCAAAATAGTTTATGACGAATCATAACGCAAAGAGAAAAAAAAACAAGAGACAAAAAATTGCTGTGCTGAATCTACGAATTGCAAACAGATAGAGTTAGCTTGAGATTCGAATGGGGAAAAGAAAAACAAAGAGAAAAAAAAACAAGAGACAATCTGACCTGTGATGACGGCAACTGAGATAGGTGGTGGCTTAGAGAGAAGTGGAGGCTGAGAGATGCTTGATGATAGAGGCACGGTTGACAGAGAGGTTTGCTTGAGAGGAGGTTTTGCGCAAAGAGGATTGGCGCGGACTGAGCCTCTGTCAGAGAGGATGAGAGAGAGTTAGGTTTGGCTAAGAGAGATGATGGCTAAGAGAGGTTTGGCAATGGCGCACACAAAGCCTCTGTCAAAGAGGTTTCGGTGGCTGAGAATGAGATGAGAGAGCTCAGAGAGGAACGAAATTGAAGAAGGAAAGAAGAAATGAAAACCTAATTATGTTATAATTTTTTGCTAATCGTGTGCATGCACGCCTATGGTAACGTCATATACAACTAATAAAAAAGAGTTGATAAATTGAAGAAATAAGAGGTGTGTAGGAAAAGTATGTACCAAAGCCAACATGCTCCATGAACTGGTGCTTAGGCGACGACTTCATTATGAAAGCACAACAAATATGGTATATTTCAAAACTCCACAAACTATCTTGGTTCGTATCAATTGTTTAATAATATCATTGAATCCTTTGTCGATCTCCAACAAAATTTCACATATGGCCAATAGTACCTTAAGGAAAAATCGAATCCATGCAGATCCTAACATCACCCCAAGGTTACCAATGCTCTATGAGCGATCAATTGGGTCAATACCAAACCTTACATTTCCCGGGGGTTACCATTCCCTTAAGGGTAATCAGTTGGATCCATGCAAATTCCAACATTCCCTCAAGGTTACCAATCCTCTTGAAGTAATCAATTGGGTCCATGTCAATCCCTATATCACCCCGGGAGTTACCAATCTCTTGGGAGCAATCATTTGGATCCATACTGATCCCAACAATACACTGAGATTACCAATCTTCTAGAGCAATTAATTGGGTCCATGCCGATTCCTACATCACCCTAGGAGTTACCAATCTCTTAGGAGCACTCAATTGGATCCATGTTAATCCTAACATCACCCCGAGGTTACCAATCCTCTGAGGGTGATCAATTGGGTCCATGTTGATCCCTACATCACCCTGTAGGTTACCAATCCCCTAAGACAATCAATTAGATCAATGTCGATCCCAACATCACCCTGAGGTTACTAATCCTCTAAGGGAAAATGAATTAGGTTCATGCCGATCTCTATATCACCCCTAGGAGACTAATCCCCTAGGGGTAATCAATTGGATCTATGCTTATCCCAACTTCACCCTGAGATTACTAATCCTATGTGAGCGATCAATTGGGTTCATGCTAATCTCTACATTACATCGGGGGGTGTCATTCCCCTAGGGTAATCAATTGAATCCATGTCAATCCCAAGATCACCCTGAGGTTTACCAATCCTCTATGGGTGATCAATTGGATCCATGCAGATCTGTACATCATCTTGGGGGTTACAAATCCTCTATTGGATCCATGTTAATTCCAACATTACCCCGAAGTTACCAATTCTCTGGGAGTAATCAATTGGGTTCATGTCGATCCTTACATCATCCCATCAATCGAATCTATGTCTATCCTTACATTATCCCAAAGGTAACCAATCCCTTAGGGGCAATCAATTGGATCCATCATAAACCCAACATCACTCCAAGGTTTCCAATCCTCTAGAAGAGATCAATTGGGTCAGTGCTGATCCCTACATCACCCCAGGGGTTTACCAATCCCCTAGGCAATCAATTGGATTTATGCCGATTCTAACATCACTCCGAGGTTACTAATCCTCTGGTACGATCAATTGGATCCATGTCGATCTCAACATCACCCTGGGGGTTACCAATCCTCTAAAGGCAATCAATTACGTTCATGTCGATCCCTACATCACCCTTGGGTTATCAAAATCCTCTGAGGTCCATCAATCGGATCCATGTCGATCCTTACATCATCTCGAGGTTATTAATCCTCTCGAGCCCATCAATCGTATCCTTAGTTGATCTCAATTAATTGGGTCCTCTACCGATCCCAACTAAAGTTCACTGAATTTGACAATACATTATCGCAATTCAAGGACTTGTGGATCAAAGATTTCTCAAGACAATGCTTACTCGCGAATCTTTGCTTAGTTGTGGTCAAGAGGTAGCAAACTTGATTTGCTTCTAAATTTTAAAATTTATATTTCCTCATGTTCATTAGTTAACAAATGTATTTATTATATTACTTGACATGTCTTGAAATCCCACATGAAATGAATTCTCACAATAATATTTTTTCTCTCCTCACCAGAGAATAAAGTGTGTATGAAGAGAGAAAAGGGGTATGTGTGGGAGCAAAATTTACCACACAAGCAATAACCCACTATCCATGCATCTTAAACTTGGAGGAATAGAGAAATTCAAGTAACATGACATTATCTTTAAATATGGAGAAAATTAGAAATGTAGAACTTGGAGCCCATGACTCCACTACCTATAAAAGGCCAATTAACACAACATCCCAGTGAGAAGAAAATGAGGTTCAATACCATTCTAAACCCTCCTACGATTACACCCTTACTGACTTGAGTATCGAAGTGTTTTCTTGCAAGTACCCCACTCTTTTCTCACTTGTGGCAATCAAAATGGTGTCCGGTTTCGCAACATATAAATCAAATTACTTGTTGGAGGACCTAAAATTTTCCATTCCAACACACAACAAAAAAATTATGTCACTCAAATCGATTCAACTACTTAGTAAAACCACAAACTAAACATTCGACATCTATAATCACTACTAAGTAGATGTAATTGTGAAACTGTAGAAGATAAAATCTTCCTCAACATCCAAATGTCAGAGCAAAATATTTTGATCAGTTCACAATTGCATATCATTTTGTACCCTTCTAACTTATGATTTGGTTATGTTATTGAGTCAAACGTTTGCTTTTAATCCCTTTTCTGTTTATCATTCAGTTCATGGAGCCTTAGGTAGCAATGGTGCCTTTGGATAAGAAAAGATGCAAAATGGTGCAAAAACGAGCAGACTGGGTTGGCAACTCATTTCGGCCTTAACGTCTTTCTCCCAACTTTGATTGGCCCATGTAATATGTGCTTGGAAAGATGAGAGTCTGAACTTCAAGATGGACAACTCAAATGTATCAATTGATTAAGTCAACCCCAATCCGTGAGCCCATCAAAATGCACACCATGCTCAGGAATGCAACTGCTAGCTGTTGAGCCATGTGCTGACAAGACAGCATGGAAACTCAGAAGGCATGGGCAGCTGACATTCCAAGAGGCATGGGCAGCTGACATTCCTAGAGGCATGGGCTACACATCAAATCAGCAGCATGGGAACCTAATGGGCAGCTCAGACAAATGGGAACAGCTAGGAATGGGTGTGCTTCACCAGCCAAAGGGGGAGCACGAATTTGCATTCTATAAATAGAGTGATGCACACTCATTCAAGGGAGTCACTCCATTCAGCCTTAAATTCACTTCAGCCATCCTCTAACACTCCCATCCTTCCCCAAACACTCCACTCAGCCCCAAATCACCAAAACAGCTCCAACAAGCCTTCCTTCCATTTCCCTACGAATTTCCTCTTTCTCTGCCATCACCACTCACCCAAACTCATCCCAAATCACCTTTTTAGTTGCCATACTCTAGATGTGAGGAAGCTCTTGGAGCAGCATTAGGTGTGGAGAAGCACTTGGAGAAGCCTTGGACACCACAAGTAACTTCAGAAATGGGTTTTTCCACTCTTATTACATTCATTATGTTTTCTCATTTCTGTTTAAGTTTCATTTCCATTATGAGTAGCTAAATTCATAACTAGGACTTCGATGTAACCTAACATGAATATTCTGGGTTTATAAGTTGAAGTTTTGAGTTTCAAGTTTGATTCATGATTCATGTTCTTATTCATTATGCTTATCAGTTAATATGCTTGTTTGGATGATTGATCACCATTAGAACTTGTATATTAGCTATCTTGGTTTGAATCAAGAGTAGACACCATGCTTTGATTCGAATTGAACTATGAATAAGAAAAGTATGTATGGACATTCGACAACAGGGATTAGATACATGCTTGGTTGTTTAAATTGTTCTTCTATGCTTAATGAGTTCCTAATGTTTAATTTAGGTTAGACAACAAATGATCAAGTTAGGGAATTAGGAACACAAGGTTAGGACCAGACACCATGGCCTAATCATACTTTAGCTAGAATCAATCTTTGAATCTGAATTAGACTTGTCACTTGACTCCTTATAACCTAGAATTGAATTGTTATGGTGAATCGAATGCCCTAGTCTCCCAATCTGTTTTCCAGCCCACAAAAACACTCTTTGTTACATTTGCTCACTTTGCTTTTGTTTGAAATTTCGTTTTGCCTCTTTTGTTCAACAATTACATTCATTCTTGCTTTAAATTCTATTTTAGACTTAACCTCCTACTTTCTTGAATTTGGTAATCTAAGTACATAACTAATTTTAACTTCTCAGTCCTCGTGGGTACGACCTCGTACTTGTCTTGCTATATTACTAATTGGCCCGTACAATTGCGAGTTAACATATTAACAACATATTTACGCAACTAAATTCTATCAACTACATACTACCGAATAAGACGTCCAACATGAGTCATAAGAAGGTTTGTAATCACTAGTAAGTATATGTAACTGTGAAACTATACCACAAAAAATATTCCTCAACATCCAAACGTCAACTAAAAAATCCATTAAATTTCAACTTCAATGTTATGCCCTCTTCTTGTTTCTACACTGCTTTGTTTTGCTACTCTTAGTACTATTAATTGTCTTTTTGTTCATGCACTTCTTTGTTTGCTACTTTGAGCAGATTCAGTTGTCAGCCAATGCAACGAGGTGTCACTTGGATAAACCATGTCCTCTAGTGCATATGAGCTTGAAATCAATATAACTTGACCTACTACTTCCAAAACATAAAATATTATATTAGGAAGAAAAAAAACATACAGTAAGCCTCAACCAAAAAACTGAAATTTAGAATGAAAAAGCATGATGCGAAGCCCTCAAAGAGGGCCTACAAAATGATGAATGACTTATAGTCCAATAACAAAATTAATATATATAAAGAACACACACGCAAGAACACATTTCTTTTGGTGGATAAATCTAACATGTATACAATAAACAGTATTGAATGAATCGGTATGCATAACATTTATACAAACCGCTACTTTCGAAACCTAAAATATTATATTAGGAAAACAATAAACAGTAAGGCTTAACCAAAAAACTAAAATTTAGGATGAAAAAGCATGATAAACAGTATATAAGATAAGTAGTATTGAATGAATGGGTATGCATCACATGTTATACAAATAACATGTCTTTACGATAGCATAAATAAAAAAATATACCTTCAAATTCCCCAGCATAATTGAATATGCATACTTGATATTAGATACAGGGACATCATCTACATGTTGTATCAAGGACATAAGTTCCACTATAATTTTCACTTTGTCAAAAGGAGAATAGAACGAAAGTAAAATACGCACGCCTTTTGCATACCGTTTGACTCCCACTTGTAATACATCACCATTAACATAAGAAACCAACTCATGCACATCACGATTCTTGAGACCAACAAAATCACGACCACAGTATCTACAACAATCCTATCAACACAAATAATCATTAGAAAACAAAAAAATATTATTCGTATTCAACATAATAAATATTATGAATGCACATACTGACAAAAAATTGTCCACAAAATACCCCCTTAATGCACATCCAGAAGCAATATGAACCATGAGAGTCTCATGAGAGACAAAGTGTCAGCCCCAATTGCAAACACGGCTGACATTATTCAAGTCACTACCCATCCTGTAATGGGGTTTAGAAATAAACATAAGCTAGACTAGAGACTTACACAATAAATGATTAGAAATATAAATCCTTAATCTCTATAAATTGGAAAAACTTCTTATAAAATTGGAAGAATCAGGAATTCTATGATGTTCTTGAAATTCTAGAATGTAGAATTGGAAGAACATCATAGAATTTCAAGAAAAATAAACCCTAAAAAAGAAAATAGAACGACCCAAATTACTAAGGAAAAGAATATAGACGAAGAAAAAAAAATCACCTAGATAAATGTTCCCAAGAACCAGAAAGAAAACAAAGTTTCCAATAACTAGAGAGAATGCAGAGTTCGCAAGACCCAAATATTGGGTTTGCAAATCTAATGAATAATGATAATTCAAATTAACAAAAAATTATATTGTAAGCATAAAAATCCAGTGACAAATAAGACAAGAACTCGTGTACAAAATAATATTTGTATTGATTTATCAAGTGTGTAGGTTACAATCTCTGGGTATTCTTTTACAAAAATAAAAGAATTTCCTCTGATTTGATCTTCAAGAGTGTGTGTGATTCAAGGGTGCCAAGCACTTGATCTTGAATCAGAATTTGAGACTTCTTCAAGAGCCGTTACGACTTGATCTCAAACATGTCGTGACCACGAGTAGTGTCACGTGGTGGATAGTCTTCGACTTTGGCGGTGAAGGAATCGGCAAGTGTTATTTGTTATGCTTGGTGATTCTCCATGAGCTTAATGAAGAACTTGGGAGTCTAGGTGTTGCTTTGGGTAGAAAGCTTTCTAGTCTTCTAAAGTGTCTGTGCCACTTTTTCTCCAGGTCATTTCTTCTAAATGGGAGCACGTCATAACCATAAGTAATGTCACATGGTTGAGGAGAACTTCTTCTGTTTACACATCCTTTTGATCGAGCAGTTCTTGGCAAAGATGCATTCTCCTTATGTAACTTCTTCCAAGTGACAAATGTCCATCCTTCATTATCGTCATCGGATGAATCAATATTACTTTGACTTAACACCCTAAAACACTCATATGGCAGAGTTAATGGGTTTCACAGAATGCCCCCAATGGTTGAAGTGAGGGTGAATGTGCCGAATCAGAGAAGACAAACGAGATCGTAGCATGGTTTGACTCTACCACATTGTCAAGATCCAGTTCGATTCTTCCTTGTTGTGTTAGCTTCATGATGAGATCTTTCAACCCGAAGCACTTTTTCATCGTGTGACTGATGGCACGATCGTACATGCAGTATTTTGGGTGGTTAATATGATTCGTCTTTTTAGGGTGTTTGCACTCGGGTAACTCAATCACCTTCTTCTAGTGTAAGTATTCCAACATGCCTTTTATGTCGGAGTCTGAAAATGATACTTTTTCTCCTTCATTTCTTTTAGGGTGTATCGTCTTGTTTCTTGATCTTGAGTCGACTTGGCCTTCCTCCCATCTTTCTTGCCTCAAGTGGAAACCTTCATTAGAGCGGCACTGATCATCATTGACTCCATGATAAGTGTCTTCAAAGAGTTTGCCCTATTTCTCGATGACTTGTCATTTCTACGATCGCTCTCCATTTCCTTCCTTTCATCTTGATTAGCGATACTTTGCTCTTTGTCATGCGCACTAGTGGTCAATTCTTCAAAGCTGTGAGGTTTGATCCCTTGAATAATGTAGAGCATACCCCAATGCATACCTTAAATGCACATCTCTACAGCCAATAACCTTGAGACTCGATCTTTGTAGTCAAGGCTTAATGAACTCCAACGATCGATGTAGTCAACAACAGGTTCGTCTTTTCGTTGCTTTGTGCTAGTAAGCTCTAGCATGCTAACTGAGTGACGGGTGCTATAGAAGCAGTTGAGGAATTCTCTCTCCATTTGTTCCCAGCTATCAATTGACTCGAACTCTAAGTCGGTGTAACAATTAAATGCAGTGTCTCAAAGTGAGTTGACAAATTACTTTACGAGGTAATCGTCATTAGTGTCAGCACTACTGCACGTCTCGATGAAGTGGGCAACATGTTTAGGGTTATCTTTTCCATCAAACTGCATGAACTTTGGAGGTTGATAACCTGTTGGCATTCAAAGGTTGTCTAACCTTTTGGTGTATGGCTTAGAATAGATAAATGTATCTTAAGAAGGACCACCATATAAAGCTCTAATGGTGTTAGTGATCATGTCTTGGAGTCGTTGGATGGATAAGGACGACACTGAAATGGAATCAGACTTGGACAAATTCTTATGGTCAGAGGTGAACTCTTGACGTACCTTTTTCTCGGGATGAGACAAGCTTTTATTTGACTATTCACCATGCTTTGCTTCTAACTTGCTCACGAGCATTGCAATCTACATGTTCTTCTCTTTGATGGTCTTTGTTAGCTTCTCGATTGCTTAGGCTATGTGAGCTAGTTGTTCATCAACTGAGGTAACTCCTACCATCATAACCTACATGGCCATTGAACAAGAATAGTCACATGACTCTGAGTGCGCTTCTGAAGCCTCTTTCTTTGGGTCTTTCGTAAGTCGAGGCCTCCTTTTAGTCTTGATGACCAGTTATCCTTCCTTTGAAAGATGTCCTTCTTTGCCCCCATTGAGGCAAGAGTGATGACTAGCTTGTGTTTCTCAAAGACTCCCTTCAACTCGGACGGAAGTGAAATGGAAGCAATGCATCGGGTTGAAATGTAGGCATTCGTCTTGCTTTGAGCAACAATACCGGTAGAGTCTCTGCTTATAGTAGAGGTACTAACACTCCTGCCTCTGCTGGAAAGAACAACATGAACCTTCTTGGAAGCCATCGCCTTTACAGGACTCATTGGGTTTGGAACTAGAGAAATAGATGAAAGGCATAGAGGTCCCACTGAGCGTGCCAAATTTGAAAACACGAAAATCCAGGGACAAATAAGACAAGAACACGTGTGCAAAATAATATTCGTATTGATTTATCAAGTGTGTAGGTTACAATCTCTGTGGGTATTCTTTTATTTTATAAAAATAAAAGAATTTCCTCTGATTTGATCTCCAAGAATGTGTGCAGTTCAAGGGTGCCAAGCACTTAATCTTTAATCGGAATTTGAGACTTCGTCAAGGGCCATCACGGCTTGATCTCGAACACGTCATGACCACGAGTAGTGTCACATGGTGGATAGTCTTTGACTTTGGCTTGATCTTGAAGGAATTGGCACGTGTTTGTTTTGCTTGATGATTCTTCACGAGCTTGATGAAGAACTTGAGAGTCTAGATGTTACTTTGGGTAAAAAGATTTCTTGTTTTCCAAAGTGTGTGTGCCTCTTTTTCTCCAGGTCCTTTCTTTTGAATGGGAGCCTAGTATTTATAGGCAAGGAATTGGATCTTAGTTTGGAATTCCCAATCTAAATCCCTTAATTTGTAGGATTGGTTTATGATTTGATTTAATTTGAGCTAATTGATTTAATTTAGCTCTTAATTAAGTCAAAATCCTTCATGTAAGAAAATTAACTCACAATGTAGGAAGATGGCCAATTAAGGATAATTTATTCCTTTTTGGCATATGATTTGATTTGATTGATGAAGTTCTTAGAGCATCTCCAACCGATGTGTCAAACGTGCCACATAGACATTTAACAGCTATAAATAACATCTCACATCACTCCAACCGATGTGTCAAAGCTGATGTGGAATGAAGGCTGGAGGTTGAGATGTTATTTTTGACATCTCAAACGCAAGATGTCAAATGAATATTTTATTATTTTTTCTTTTCAATTCTTTTTAATTAAAAATGAATCAACACTAAAATGTAATAAAATAATAATTTAATTTGGCATATCGGGTGGAGTGTAAAGCTGTGTAAGATGTCAAATTGCCACATCAGCCATCAAATTTAAATTTGACGTTTAGTATTTGACATCTCCCTTGGAGATGCTCTTAGAGTATCTCCAACCAATGTGTCAAACGTGCCACATAGACATTTAACAGCTAAAAATAACATCTCACATCACTCCAACCAATATGTCAAAGCTGATGTGGAATGAAGGCTGGAGGTTGAGATGTTATTTTTGACATCCCAAAAGCAAGATGTCAAATGAATATTTTCTTTTCTTTTCTTTTCTTTTCTTATTAATTAAAAATGAATCAACACTAAAATGTAATAAAGTAATAATATAATTTGACATATCGGGTGGAGTGTAAAGCTGTGTAAGATGTCAAATTGTTACATCAGCCATCAAATTTAAATTTGATGTTTGGTATTTGACATCTCCCTTAGAGATGCTCTTAGATGCTAACATGTGTCATCTCCGGTGCTTATCTTTATCTTGGTGAGTCATGTGACACATGTATTTGTATGGGACTCATGACTTTTCCAGTTATCTTTAACGAGTCATATTTTGAATTTTGATTATTGAATGTAAATTAGTGAATTTTTATTTCACTAAAATTTTCATGTCTACAAATATATACAATTTTAAACACAATATTATAAAAATTTTGAAATCAGCCCACAAAAGTTTCTATTTTGACCCTAGTTATTGTTTTTAAGATTACAAAATGATCCATACCGTGTCTTACTTTGACCCCATGGTAGCGTCCCCCTCCTTAAACCTGCAACAACCACCACCGTCAGATCCACCAGCAGATCTGTCATCATATGCGGCCTGCCCTCTTAAGCATGCAACAACTATCACCATCAGATCCAGATGGCAAATGGTGGTGTTTGTTGCATGTTTAAGAGGCAGGGAAGGCCAAAAGATATGAATGAACATAGTAGAGGGGTTGGTAAACATAATCGAGAGGGTGATTGAGAGAGCAAAGGAGAAGAGTAGGAGAGAATAAATGGAGATAAAACGGGTTGGGAGAGAATTGAGGAGGTGTACGGTTTAGAGAGAGAGTTGAAAGGAAAGGGAGGAGAGCTTGAGAGAATAAATAGAGATAATTGAGGTGCTTGGTATAAGGGGGGAGAGATGTAAAAAGATAAAAATGCCATTGAAACCTGTTCGCGCTAAATCTAAACAGATAAGAGTTTAGGCTAACTTACAAGTATGCTGATGGTTGAGGACCGGGGTGACCTTCTTCCGTGATGTCCGAAGGTTCGAGCGGGGGCTATATCCGAACTGAAGAGGGGATATCGGTGTGGTACCTGCCGAAGGCACTCCGATGCCAAAGTTAATAACTAAGAGCGATTCTATTGCCAGTGGAAACACTAGTCAAGTCAGAAAGTCTTACCACTTGGCCGGGCCAAGGGGCTCTATTTATAGAGAGCATTTGTGATGCTCTTAGTACCCAGTTTCGATGTGGGACTCGTGGAAGAGTCTTCGGAGATCGACACGTGCTCTGACAGGTTCTGGTAGGAGTTCTGAGATGACCTGTCAGAGTTGGATTGATGTGACTGTTGGTCGCTCGGCACACCATGCCGAAAGTTGGCGTGGATAGCTGATGGACCGTAGTTGATCCTAGAATCGGTAGAGAATGCCGAAGGAACATTCGACATGGCCTACTTGAGCTGCTCTCGGCTTTAAGTGTGTTCCACGTGTCACGATGCGGGTGGGTGGTCAGATATGGTACAAACAAAACCTTCCACCAACCAAACCAACACGGAAATATGTATTTAATTACTTTGATTAAAAAAATATTTAATATTTAATTACTCAAACAAACTAACACCAACCCCTAATAGATGAGAAAAATTTGTGTACATCGGGGATAGCACTGTTTACCATTTTCAACCAATCACGTTTCGCCACACATAATAAGAATTCCACTGTTTGCCATCTTCTACCACATTCCGCCATATATGATAAAAATTTCACATGACGAGACGTGATTGGATGAGGATAGCACAATTGCCCCATGCCATGATATGTAAGTCTTTTTCCTCCTAATACACCCCACCCCCCCCTTTTTTCAATACTATAACAAGTTTTTTTAGTATTTATGAGTGAGAAGACAAATACGATATAGAGGGTATAGAAAGTGTGGGTGTAATAAGTTGAATATAAACGAAAATCAATTGGGTGAAAATTACCATAAAGTTATTTAATCTACTGACGGTAATGTTGACGTTATGATTTTAAATCTCCGTCATTTTGCCATCTTACTCTTGGTAACAAAAATTAAAATGCAAAACTAACAAGAAGGATGGAAACTCGCAATTTCAAATCCCACGAATTACTTTGCGTCTATTAATCTAGGGAAATAAATAAAAACAAAGGTGTATATAAAATTCAGAAACCACGTCCTTATTGGGAAAATGATTTACAAGATTTTGAAGTTTGTAATCAAAGCAATTGTATCTAGTGCATTTATATGCCTTATGTTTAGGGATTTTATGGATACGATTCATAAGAAGCAATTCCCAATAATACACGATAAGATCATTTGTGCTCCGTTTGGATGAAGGAATTGCAAATTGCATAGAATTTTAAAATGACGGAATTTAGATTTCCGTCATTTCAATTTCTGGTAATTGAAGATTTCAGTGTTTGGATTTATGTATGTCGAATTTTGTAAATGACAGAAATTGAAAATTTCAATGTTTGGATAGCTCATGTAAATTATAAATGAAAGAAATTAAATATTTCGAAAGAACAAAAAAACTGATAACTGACATAGAAGGTATTCCTCGAAGTATGAAATAACATATCGTTTGATGAACTAAATAACTCAACTTAAACAAACAAAGCATATTAGCAAACCAAATCACTCCCCACGTGCAATGAACATAAGTAACATACTTTTTTTTTCTCCATTGGGAGTGACTATGGAATTAGAACTAGAAGCAATCAGCAATCAAGACCATGATACTTCTTTTTCACTTGGCAAAAGACCAATGACCAGAGAAACTGAAAGGGCTTTGATTAAAAAGTTGCAAACAAAAGTATAGGAATAAATGATGAAATCAATGAATCACTATCATAAGACTTAATTTAAGTCCCAAAGAATGAAGGAGCACCTTGGCCAAGCTGCGGCTTACGAGCAAGTTGGTGTAGCTTACAATCAACATCTAATGGCTCACACAAAGCGATAAAGCTAACAAACAACTACAGAGCAAGGCGATAACACAAAGTGATAAAGCTAGCAAACAACTACAGAGCTGTACCATAAACACCAATCACACACCAATATCCATGGGCATAGAGTATTTTGTTAAAACTTCCCAAAAATCCAGCCACAGTGCCGCAAAGATCACAAAACCCATTCAACACATTCATAAATTTAGTCAAAAACACCCAATTTTGATAGCCATTCAGAAACCATGGTAACCCTAAAATAAAAAATATATAAATTGAAGGAGAGAAAGGCTTGAATACTAACCTTCAAACTGGATCCAAAGAGCCATGTAACCCAAGAAGAACTCATTCTCCTTACTTCTCTGGCTATACTCAGTTTCAGGGGTTTTTGGCGCTATTTTTTGGTGGAAAATATGAATTCCCGCACTACGGAAATTGTGAAATGACGCCTATTTTGGTGGAAATTAAACTTGGGAATTTGATACCTCAATTTCCATGATTTTTTCCACGCGTCATTTAATAAGTTCCGGGTTTAAGTTGCCAAACAAGGGAATTGTCAATTTCTCTTCTTCAATTCCCGACTTTTACCTAAATTCCGAGTTATTTTCCCTCATCCAAACGGAGGGTTAGGAAATTTATATCTTATCCCAAAAATAATACAAAACACTAAAACAGAAACACCATTAAAATAGAGAAACTATTTTATGTATATAATTATTTGGATTACGTGCATAATAGGGTGATGATGATTGTGATATTTAAAGCGAGTTTTTATATATTTTATTATCTTACGTTTGGCATTTTGTAATATTGTGCATTATTATTTCTTGACAAAATATACACATGTAGGCCAACTTTTTATTTATTTATTTATTTATGATGTAGGCCAAGGTTATTATTTTATTTTTTTTCAACGAAATATAATTTAAAATATTACCTTGTAAAAAAAAATTAAAACAGATCCACCCATCTCCAATTCAATCCGTTTTTTTAAAAAGAAAAATGATGTGTCGGTTGGCCACACGCATGCATCTCTCTTTGACCCATATCTGGCTGTCAGTGTATGAGACAGATGTGGAGTTGGATGCATCTGTATTCTCGACCCCAAAAAAAACTTCTCTATTCTTGTCTACGTGTGTGTATTTTTTTGAAATATTTTTACTTATTATTTTAATCCAAGATGTATTATTATTTTCATGAAATTAGTATGGGTGCATTTACACGTATTTAAAAAAAAATTAACTATTAAATTCATCTATTAATTTTAATAAGTCCACGTCATCAAACTTGTATTAAACTAAAAACTAATTATTTGCACCTTATTATGTCCCCATCAAGCCACACCTACCTACATTGCAGCCATGGCTGCCACCTCCTTCTCTCTCTCTTACTGCGTCAACAGCAAAAATAAACCTACAAAATCATAAATGAAAATCTGCAAAATAGAGAGAAGGAATTCTGATGTACACCATATGCAATTCAAGAAGTAACAGTGTCTATAATTTACAAAATTAATACATTAAAAGAGATAATTTATTTGTATGAGACATGTCGAATTGGATATCAGTTTTTAATCAAATTCAAGGTTTTGATAATTATGAAAATGATTTAATTGTGGGAGAGAAGTGGGAAAGGCCGCATGGGAGAGTAAGATGTGGGTAAGTGACACAGTGCAAAAAGAGGAGTTTTAACATAACACAATTATGATGAGGTGGAATAATTAAATTTCATTGGATTAATTAAATGATTAAGATTTTTTTAAATGCATGTAAATGCACCGAAGCTAAATGTAAAGACTCGGGATTGACGTGAGGTGGGGATGTGGAAGGGGGTTAGGCGGTGATGCAGTGGCGCTCCAAGCCCACCATTTCTACTTCATATATATGTCTTTTGTACTATAATGGTGGGTGTGGCTGAGATTGGTGGTTAGGGAAGAGAAAGGGGGGTTGGGTTTGATCAGGAAGAAATGAGAGAGAGGTTCAAAGAGAGCTACTTAATGCCTCAATGTCAGGGATTTTGAAATTCGTTGAAAACACTTTGTGGCCAGGGGAAAGCCGAATCCCGAGCGTGGATTAATCTCACCCTTCGGTGTGGGGACATCTCGTGTTACAAAAAAAAAAAAAAAAAAAAAAAAAAAAAAAAAAACCTTTTTTTTAATTGAATTTTAAAAGTTTTATTAATATTTTATTCAAATTATGTTTTAAAAAAATTATTTTATTTTATTTAAGAAAATTAATTTTGGTTTCTTTTTTTTATGTTTTATAAATTTAAATTTATTTTATAAATGTATATTTTTAATATAATACACGTGGCGTCATTTCATTGGATATGTGAGTCCAACATGTATGCCACATTAGCAATTTAACAGATTTTTGGAAAGAAACCTATTTTTGAGCGCTCATATTAATCTTGGAGACCACAAATGACACAAAAAAACAAGAAGGAAACAATCTGATAGTTTCGTTAACATCATGAACGTTTTGTGATAAAAAAAACTGGAAAAAAAAACAAGATAAGAGGTGGGATAAATAAATGTCATGTTGTTAGAGAGAAAGAGAGTGATTGGGACAGATATACCATAGACGTAGCATTGATATATATATATATATATATATTTATTGATACAAATGATAATATAAGGGTGCCGATTTTTTGACTCTCCTTTTGTTCACTTATATTTCCTTTTATTTTTTTAATATAATTTACTATAACATATAAGGAAGTGTAAGTAGACAGAGTTAACAATGGATCATGTCGGGTCATCTTAAACAGATTACCTACTTAATAACATGTTTAACAAAAAGTGGTAGCAACTAGTAGCAAGGTGGGATTCCGGTAACAAAAAAAAAAAAAAAAAAAAAAATTGTGTTGAATGACTAGTTGACATGTTTTGTCTTATTTTTTTGGGACATGTTTCTTTTTCTTTTTTGAAGTTACAAAAAAGTAAAGTAAAAAGAGAAAAAATTTGTAGTACGATCCTAGTTCACACCAAAGCAAAGCACGTGAATGAAACCAACTTAACTAAATATTCATTTGTGGACTTCACGCTTACTTATATATAGATATTTATAAATAAATGGGTTATATACATATTTTAGCGGATTGACGGGTTGATTAAAATTGATCTGTTTATTAAACTGGTCATGGTGGGTTCAGTTTAAAATGACTTGAATTTTTATCATGCGGGTTGAATTGAATAATTTCTAATGGGGTTTCGAGTTTTGTAACGGATCATATAGAAAATTGCTACTTTATTAGGAACTTATAATTTTCAATAAATGGAGTGTAATTGAAAAAAAGAGAATAGGAAAGTTAGCTCCCTCTTTGAAATAATGTTGAACCACGAGAAGATTGAGTTGATGTTTTCATATCAGTCGTCAATGGCTGGAACTAGGAATTTTGATAGAACTAGGCTAAATTTGTTTTTTTCTTGACTTTTTCTATACTATAATATAGGATGCTTCAAATTGTCAAAAAAAAATTTGGTAGGGGGCCTAAAGACGAAAAAGAACACAGAGAAGAGTGAAGAAGGAGAGAGAGAGAGAGAGAGAGAGAGAGAGAGAGAAAGAGAAGAAGTGAAGGAAAAGGTGATAAAAACACAACCAGACAATAGAAAAGGCACTCACGTGGCCTCCAAACTAAAATGTAAATAAATAAAAGCAATTTATATTAATATATCTGCAGCAAGCATAAGACTTTATGGAACAAAATACAATAAATGATGGGCTGGGCTACATAGCTTATAAAATTTGCAAAAATGGTGGGCTCGTATATCTGAGCCTTCTGGGTGTTTTTAACTCTCAATCGTGCTTGTATTTTGGAGCCGTCTCCCTTCTTTGTATTGCCCTCTGACCTTTTCTTCCCAATAGCCCCCTGCCTAATTTCTTGCCCTCTCCTTGGGAGAAACATTTGTCTTCAAGGGGGATAGTACTGTTTTGTTATTCCCGATCAATCACACTATTACATATGTGATAACTTTTTCATTTGATATAGAGTGAGTTTTTCTACCTCGTGAGGATTTAATATGAAGTTTTCAGAACACCCAAAAAATAAAAAAAAATCACAGAGAGAACATGAAAAATATAAATGTGGAAGAGGAAAATTGTAATTCAAGATCCTTGTATATATTTTACTGATTCTGATCAGAGAGTGCATTCAAATGATGTCATAGCTCCATAAATTCTTCTTGTCTCCATCTTACCCTATAAAATTCTTATCTATTAATTATACACACCTGTACAATTAAACAAAAAGACAAAACTGATTTTCGTGACTTTTTCTATTTTCTAGTCTTCCATTATTAATTACACCTTTAGAATTTTTAATTCTTTATCATCAACTGAGAATTAATCTACAATTATAGTTTGAGGAGCACCAAGAATATTCAATATGAACTAAGGAAAAATATCATAATTATCATAGGACTTTTCTGGTGGAGCACACAACTATAAATAAAATAAAACCCAAAAGAGAATTAAAGCAGACAAGGGTTTTCTCTGTCTTCCAATATGAAGAAATAAAGAGCTGCCTGCCAAACATGTATTTTTAGTTCAATGTTGCGTGGGTGTCCCTTGTTGCTTGTGTTGGATCCTTTGCTCATGAAATTCCTTCAAGCAAATAGCAAAAAGAGTCACTCTATAATAGTGATTCATATTCAATATATACAAACAAGTCCAACGGTGATTCACCAATGTAAATTTTGTACAAATCCAATAGTTATGCGTATCTAACTTGGACTATAGCCCATATGAGTCTTTTTTTTCTTCTTATAATTAGTATATTGGTTTTATGGTTTAACTCAGTTCAAAATCTAACTGCCCATCCGTAAGGTAAATCTAGCACACCCTATTTTGAAGTCCTGGAAATCCCAAGTCCGTCCCAACTAATGGTGATTGTCCAAGTCAACTCGTCAATCAAATCATTTGAAAAATGTTCGTATTGAATACAAATTCTACATTGGAACCAAAAAATGAAAAAAAGAAAAGGAATTCAACATACAGAATTTCCCGTAAAAAAGAACCAAAACCTGGTGAAAAATATTGAAAGCTTTTGGGAACCCCCATCATATTGGTTTTGCTGTCTTTTGGTGTGCTCTTTGTTCAGTTCTGAGCCTTCTGGGTGGTCCTCTGTTGGTCTCTCTTTGTTGTGCCTTAACTCTCCTTGTGCTTGTAGTTTGGAGCCGTCTCCTTTCTAATTTGTATTGCCCCTTGACATGTTCTTGTAAGTAGGCTCCTGCCTAAGTTTTCAGAACTATAGAAAAAAATTACAGAGAGTGCATGCAAATGATGTCATAACTCCATAAAATCTTCATGTCTCTATCTTACCCTATAAAATTCTTATCTATATAGTATACACACCTGTACAATTAAACAAAAGTCACAACTGATTTTCTTGACTTTTTCTATTTTCTAGTTTTCCTTTAATTACACCTTTAAAATTTTTAATTCTTTACCATCAACTGAGAATTAATCTAGAATTACACAGTTTGAGAGGAGCACCAATAATCTTCACCATCAACTAAGGAAACGTCTCATAATTATCAAAGGACTTTTCTGGTGGAGCACACAACTATAAGTAAAATAAAACTCAAAAGAGGCACTGAAGCTCTAGACTTCTAGAGCTCCAAGTCTTCTATTTCAGTTCAACCGAATTAAAGCAGACAAGGGGTTTTCTCTGTCTTAGTATGAAGAATTAAAGAGCTGCCTGCCCAACGTTTATTTTTAGTTCAATGTTGCGTGGGTCTCGCTTGGTCAGGCCTTTTCAGTTCCAAGGGACAAGTTCAGATTGGCTGCCATCTTCTTTCACGAAGGGCCCTGCAATTTCTGCTGCCACTAACACCATCCTCTTCTTGGGTCTCTTCATAATTTCTGCTGCCATTTCGTTTTCTTATTGGATCCAAATTGTAAGTTTCAGTCAACTTTTAGCATGTAGTTTCGAGACTTTTGGGTCATTTTCTGAATGTTTAAATTTAGTTTGCCCTGAATTTTTTTTTCATGTTTTGTGTGTCATGCAGTCCAATTTTCAGATTGGTAATTCTGCAAACGAAACCATATTAATCTCCAACAAGTATCAGGAACCCTTTAAGGTGATTGAATTCCCACTCAACTGTTCTATTGGCAGCAATATTAACCAGACACAAACCTGCCCAACAAGTTACCCTACAACCTTTGGCAACCTTGATGATCTTGAGCCATCATCAAGCCCAGTATGCCCGGATTATTTTCGGTTCATCCACCAGGACCTAATGCCATGGAAAGCCACAGGGATCACAAGGGACATGGTGGAGAGAGCAAAGGAAACGGCACATTTTAGGCTAGTGATTGTGAAGGGCAAGGCCTATGTTGAAAAGTATAAGAAGTCCATACAGACAAGGGATGTGTTTACTATATGGGGCATTCTGCAGCTTCTTAGGAGGTACCCTGGCAGACTGCCTGACTTGGAGCTCATGTTTGACTGTGATGACAAGCCGGTCATCCGATCAAGGGACTTCCGGGGACCGAACTCGACTCAGGTGCCGCCACTGTTCCGGTATTGTGGTGACAGATGGACTAAGGACATTGTGTTCCCTGATTGGTCCTTTTGGGGTTGGTAAGTTTGAAATTTAGGCAAGTTTTAAAATTTCAGTGTCTTCTTATTCTGGCATGAAAATGATAGGCCACCAACCTCTCTAATGTCCATTCATGTTGGAACGTTTCAAAAGTTATACTTAGTGATTTCCTTTCACTTTAAAGAAAAATAATATTTCGTCAATTTAACCATCCTTACTGGGATATGTTCGAGACTTGAGAAATTTCTCGGGGACAATCTGTCATGTCACATGTCAATCTTGACAATCAAGTATAGGTGGTCCAAATTCATAGTCACGCAACATAATATACTAGATATCTGACAGGAGAATTTTACCGTTTTTAATCATGCTCGCTTATTACTCATAAGCTACATGCATTTTTGAAGGGCTGAGATTAACATAAAACCATGGGAAAGTTTGTTGAAAGATCTCAAGAAAGGCAATGACAGGAGAAAATGGATGGAAAGAGAACCTTATGCATACTGGAAAGGAAACCCTTTTGTTGCTGAAAGCAGGAAAGACCTCCTCAAATGCAATGTCTCAGACTCACAGGATTGGAATGCTCGCCTATTCATCCAGGTAACACATAAGCAAATTCTTTCAAACTATCCTATACTTGTTGAAAACAAGGTGAGCAAATTTTGTAAGATATAGATTTTCATCTGAAAATCGATCATTTGGGCAATTAAATCAACTAACTAGTTGGGTATAATTGCAGGATTGGATCCTTGAGTCTCAGCAAGGCTTCAAGCAATCAGATGTAGCAAGCCAATGCACACACAGGTATGTCTCACAGAAGAGTAGTGTAAATAAAATAAAATCTTCTTGCTTAGTAAATTTTGATTTTTGATTTTCCATTTTATTTTCTCATGTGATTTATATAGGTACAAGATCTATATTGAGGGATATGCATGGTCTGTCAGTGAGAAATACATTCTAGCCTGTGATTCAGTAACACTAATTGTAAAACCACAATACTATGATTTCTTCACAAGAAGTCTGCAACCAGTGCACCATTATTGGCCTATAAGGCACGACGACAAATGTAAATCCATTAAGTTTGCTGTAGATTGGGGCAACAACCACAAACAAAAGGTGACTCCTCTAACCCCTTTAAACTCTGAGTAAAACTATTTGTACCATATTTACGAAAGTGCACTCCTCTGTATTAGAGATGCGGTCCATAGTGTGATCCATCTAGACCATTACCCTAAAATTCGGTGCTCCATAGTTTATAATACTTGTGGATTAATTATTTCACAGGCACAAGCAATTGGAAAAGCAGCAAGCGACTTCATTCAGCAAGAGCTAAAGATGGACTTTGTGTATGACTACATGTTCCATCTGTTAAACGAATACGCAAAACTCTTAAGATTTGAGCCAAAAATACCCGAAGGCGCAACGCATTTGTGCTCGGAGAGTATGGCTTGCCCCGCGTCTGAGTCTGAGAAGAAGTTCATGACAGAGTCCTTGGTTAAGAGTCCATCAGTGACAAGCCCCTGCACCGTACCTCCTGCCTATAAACCCCAAGTACTTGGAAACTTGTATAGGAGGAATATCAATTTAAATAAACAAGTGCAGAAGTGGGAAGATAAGTACTGGGAAAATCTCTCTAAGCAGGATTAGCTGTCCATTTTCACATGGACTAGTTACAGATTACTTTCAGCAAGTATGCAAATTTAATGTAAAGTACATAAATTAATCACAACTTGTCACCTGTTTGAAATAATAAGAAGAAAACTCAACTACCATCACCAAAATTTATCATATTCATGAGAAGGGGTCTTGGATATAAAATGGATCCTATGGTCAGTTATTTTTAGTTTTGGTCTCCCAAAATTTGGATGATCAAACAAACAGTTTTAACCCAAAACAGGAAAATTCAATAGGGGCAATTTATCCCAAAAAGCAATAACAGATTAGGGTTACAACGTGGAAGCATTGAAGTGAATTGTGGACATAATCAACCAGAAGAAGCAAATTTTGTCCTTCAAATTCTCTCCTCCTCCACTATCTTAGCCTCCAAATGTGCAACTTCTCCACCTCTCATGCCTCCCAAAAACAAGGATCTATTCTCTCTTTTTTTGCTCCCATAGGCTCTCATTGTGCTTCTTGCCCCCACTTCCATTCTCTTAGGCCCCAATTCCCTTCTCTCTTTTTTCTCACATTTCAGAAGCCCTTTCTCATTGGAGACAAAATGGTATGCCTGCATTCTCTCTGTCTTTTTGCTACACCAATTTATTATGGTTTGCACTGATCATATATACAATTATAAGGGTACCCTTTCATTTTTTGGGGGGGATTTAAAGAAATGATCGATTCGATATATTCGATTTCAACCATAGCCATAATGTCGGTATTGATGTGCATGCTCTGTGATTCTGCTTTTTTGTTTTTTCATGCTAGATTTGTTTGTTGCTTCATTTTGATGCATATTCGTTTATGATAACACGTAACATGTTAGATTGACGATTTGAATCATAGTTTGAACAAATAAAAGAACACATACCCGTGTTAATTAACATCCAGTAAAATGCTTCTTTATATGATGCGATTACATAACTCGCATAGAAAAAAAGATAAAAAATCCTTAGTCAGATCTTATATGGTGATAATTTGATGAACAATATAGGTATACAACGTAATTGACCAATTAATTAAAGGTTCTAATAGTTGAGCTTTGTGATGGAATGGGACAGGCCAATGCAGCTTCTGGAATGGCTGTGCACGATGACTGCAAGCTGAAGTTCATGGAGCTAAAAGCAAAGAGGAACTATCGATTCATTCTGTTCAAGATTGAACAACAACAGATTGTGATTGATAAGCTCGGGGAACCTAATGAGAGTTATGATGATTTCACCTCCAGTTTTCCTTCTGATGAGTGTCGTTATGCTGTCTTTGATTTCGATTTCACTACCGAAGAGAACTGCCAGAAAAGCAAGATTTTCTTCATTGCATGGTAATTAACTTCACACAAAGAAACTACACTCATCTTAGATTTGCTTTTAGAAAACATCTTGAAAATAAACATGTCATGAGGGCTAAAATTTTGCATCCTGCACTAATACAAACATGTACGGCTCATCATACAATAGTCAGTCTCATGAGCTGTATTTAAGAAGTATTTCTTCTGTACAACCGGTTGTATATAATTATATGACTATCTCCTTGATCACATGAAAAATTAATAGATATATAATTGTATACAACTGGTGGTATGGAAGAAAAATTAGTAATTTTTAAAAGTACGACACGACGCTCATGATGCATATTTGCTTCTTTCTTTTTGTTTGGACACTAAAAACCTATGTTTGCATATGTTTTTGTGGCACGGGTTAGGTCACCGGATTCATCAAAGGTGAGGATGAAGATGGTGTATGCTAGTTCCAAGGACAGATTCAAGAGAGAATTGGATGGCATTTCATTCGAATTGCAAGCAACAGATCCAAGTGAGATGAGCTTGGACATAGTGAAAGGGCGAGTCTTCTAAGCCAAGCCACACCTTTCGCTCTCTTCTCCAATCTTTCATGCTTTCCCTCACTGTTTCCTTTGGAGGCCACCAAATTTTATAGCCATTATTATTACTTGGATTTTTGTTTAAAAAACTCCAAATTAGCCAAGTGAATCTGTGAATGTAATATGTACTCCTGTATAACGTCAACAGCCATATTTGAAAAACAATAGGGTTTTTGGGATTAAACAAAGGCTCTCAAAACCAAATTGGATGCAGCCATGAGAGCATTAGTTGATGCTTGTGGATGCTGCTTTGAATAGGGTTGCTTCCATTTGTCTAGTGTTGCTCTTAGACAGATTGTTATGAGTAGAGCATGATAATCTCTGGTTTATGGCAATCTCAGTTTCTATACCCCTTGTTTTTTTCACTCGGGGTGATTCTGTGTAGTGTGTTTTATATATTGTTGTCAAAGAAAAATTGAAGTATCTATATGTTATTTTCCATTCTTCTTTGTGTTGACTGTTATACCTTTGTGCAAAAACACACACACAAACACAAGCTATTGGGTCTTGGAAAAGGCTCAGTAACAACCTAAACTAGCCACAATTTGACCTTGGGCCTAGTAACAAGGAGAAATGGCAAAATCAAGTTCACATTGAATGGGAGTACTCTCTATTTTAAGAGAAAAGTTTGGCTATCCCGGTTATATGCATTTGCTTCACTCGTCACATGATAAGTCTATGATGAATGACAAAGAAACAATCGATATATACAACTAGTATACTATATACGTGAGTTTCTCTTCCATTTGAGATGTTGATACAATTGGTCTATGACAAACCTTGAAGAACTAGGGCAAGAATGCAAAAGGACATTTTTAATTTTATTCCTTTTTTTATAAACAAAAGATGTCACCAATCGTAACTTTTTTTTTCTTCTTCCAGTTTTGCATTGCAAGCATACAGAGAAGAAAGCATAACCCATGAAAAGCAAAGCAGCAATTGAAAACAAAAACAAAAAGAGGTTTTATTACTTAGTTTTTAGAACATAATTTTTTAAATGATTTTTATTTAACAAAGCCACATAAAAATAAATAAATAAAAGCCAATATCAAATAACCAAAATGGGGAAATCCCTTACATCAAACGACGTCGCTAGCGTTTGGCTTGCCTACTCCTCCCCAAGCATAACAAACACACAGCCTCTTTAGGGTTTATCAACCTCCCCCTGTCCCCCAGTTCGTTGAACAGAACCATGGACGACGCAACTGCCCCAGCCCCAGCCCCAGCCCAAGACCAGAACCCGACCCCCAACGCGAACCCAGCTCCAATCTCGGGCTGGAGCAACATAGTGAAGAAGCAGGCAGAGCCAAAGCCCCAGACCTCGGAGTCAAACGCCACAACCCAAGTTTTGGTGGAGAGCTGCAAGTCCTCTAAGGGCATAGCCATAGCAGTGGTCGATGCCAATGCCATCATTCAAGGCGGAGAGAGCCTCAGCCACCGCGCCGACAAGTTGGTCTCCGTCCCCGAGGTCATGGACGAGGTCCGTGACCCTGTTTCCCGCCACCGGCTAGCCTTTGTTCCCTTCCAAGTCCAAACCATGGAGCCTTCCCCGGAAGCTCTCAACAAAGGTAATTTATTTTTGTATGTGTATCAATAAAACTATGTTTACCTGTGAAAGCTTGAAGCTTTAGTATGCATTGTTGCTTAATTTCAAGCAATCATGGTTGAGAAGTATTGGTATGAGATGATTTTATGGATTTGTTGTTGGGTTTTTTATATGAGTATGTGATGTATGAGGCGGTTGAATGTATGTGGGAATTGGGTTTGATGGGTTTCTGTGTTTTTTTATTGTGGACAGTTATTAAGTTTGCGAGGGCTACTGGGGATTTACAGACGCTTTCAGATGTGGATCTCAAGCTTATTGCTCTGACTTATACATTGGAGGCTCAGATACATGGAACTGAAAATCTCAGGGACTGCCCTCCCCCAGTTCACACAGTCAATGTCAGGAGGTTGCCTGAGAAGGACTTGCCGGGTTGGGGCAATAATGTGCCCAATTTGGAAGAGTGGGAAGCTCTGGAAAATGCTGCGGAGGACAATGTCAACCCCAGTTCAAGAATTCTTCCGTTGAAAAATATAAGCCTGAATGTGATGGATTCCGATAGTCGTTCTGTTGATGGTTCGGCAGTGGAAGTTAAAAGTGATGCTCATTCTGAAAATCAGGAGGATGGTTTGGGCATTGAAAGGAGACCTAGGAGAAATTTTCCCAAGAAGAAAGAGATAAACATTGAAGGAAAGAAGATGGTTTCAGACGGAATTGATGCATCCCAAGGACAGTTTGATGATAATGCTGGGGACTGGACGCCTGCTGTCAGTCGAAGTACTCATAGGAGGTTTTTGAGAAGAAAAGCTAGACGTGAGTCCAATGAGGCATTATCTGAAAAGGATGCTCAGCAAGATGCAGAGGAAAATGCAAGTGGCGACATACTTGAGGAAGCTAGAGGCCAGGATCAATCGTTGCCTGTGGACTCTAAGGAAGCATGTCCTGAAAATGGAATTTCAGAGGCGAGTGAGATGACAAAGGCGAAGAATGGTGATGAAGGCCTCTCTTCAATCCTGAAGCAAACAAGGCTGGAAGAAGATGAACCAAGGACTCTTCAAGAAGGAAAGGAGCTCAATGATGTAGAGGCTAATGATCCCGAAGCAGAGGAAGCTACTACTGATAATAATGTGAATTTGGATGTTGAAGGAGGTGAAGTTGAAATGATAAATGAAGAGTTGGATCACTTGGAAATCACAAGTCAGACTAATGAAAGCGTTGATACATCCAATTTGAATGATGATCATAGTGAGCAGAGCTGGATGCTTAGATCCTTGTCTGAATCCAGTGTAGCTTGTATAACTAGTGATTTTGCAATGCAGAATGTTATTCTGCAGATGGGTTTACGGTTGCTGGCACCTGGCGGAATGCAGATCCGACAGCTCCATAGGTATATATTTGATACACTTTTTCCCATTTAATTATCCTTTGCATACTATTACAAACTCTGTTCTTTTGGTCCACTTATAAGTTTAGATACCAGGATGTTTATTAGAGATATCTTACATAGGATCTGAATGGAACGGTGAGAAATAGGCTGGTCCAATTGGATTTAAATTTGTTCTTCCCCTCACTACGGTGTCTGAAATTACTTCATGAAACAACTGTATCATGAACTTCTGTGGTGTCATCTTTTATAGGTGGATTTTGAAATGCCATGCCTGCAATACTGTGACTGGTGAAATTGGGAAAATTTTCTGTCCGAAATGTGGAAACGGTGGTACTTTGCGCAAGGTGGCAGTTACAGTTGGTGAAAATGGCATTGTTCTGGCGGCTCGTCGTCCTCGGATCATATTGCGTGGCACAAGAGTGAGTATATCTATATCAGCTTTTCCCAGGAATTGGTCACCATCAATGGTAGCTTAGATCTGTTGGATTATTGCAAGTAAAGCACGTGTAACCTCTTTAATATGAAGGTCACTATCCATTGGTCATTAGACATTTTGGTTGCCCCAGTGGTACTTTCCAAACCTATATTGCATACTCTTCTCTTGGTTATTGGACGCTAGTCTTTTAACATGAAGATAATATTTCCTTGGTTATGAGTGTTTTATGGTCATTTGTATGCTACTAACATTGTTGGTTGGTACTGGGATCACACAAACATGCAATTTGTTCACAAATTCATGACTGAATTAGGATGTGAGGACAACATATCCCATCCCAATATATGTTGTTAGGAAACATAAGATATTGCATTCACGATTTCATCAGCCATCATACCTTAGTCAATCGCTTTGAGTGTTGGCTTCCACATGTGCATTTGTGATTTCATGTTCTACTTTTGGTATTTCACCTAAAGTTTCATTGCTCATGTCCGCGTATGCATCTTGATGTTTGGTTGTTTGCAGTTTTCACTGCCTTTACCTCAAGGTGGAAGGGATGCCATTACTAAGAACCTCGTTTTACGTGAAGATCAACTCCCACAAAAGTTTCTTCATCCAAAGACAAAGAAGAAAGCAAATAAGGAGGTCATTTTTCAAACTCTTTGGTGTTCCTGAATTGTGACTGCCTCTGATTATTGATGTGTGGATTATTGCTTAGCTATTAAATATCTGACTATACTTTATGTTTTACATCTGCAGGGGGATGACGTATTCACTACCAATGACTTCATCTTCTGCCACCATACTGATAAAAAAGCTCCTTTGCAGCCTCCCATAAGGAAGGCACTAGCTGTTTTCAGTGGAAGGAGGAATCCCAACGACAATCATTACTCGCCGAAGCATAAATAGCGGGTTTCATTCGCTTTTGATTGCGATGGATTTTTGAAACCAGTTTTGATATTTGAGCAGTTTCTTTGTTAGGATATGTTGAGTGTGGCCTAATGATTTGTGGGTAATTTATGTGGTATTTATGACTATATAGTAAACGAGAGCAATTCCATGTGGTTCTTTGAGTACAAACATGCCTGTCTATTTTCAGACTATCATTTGTAAGGTCTGAAACGTGGAATGGAATGCATGAGTTTGCTGAGGGACAAAAAAGGCTTCTTGAATGCAGCAAGACAAAATTCAACACAACCCTAATCTAATAGACAAACAGAGGAATTCCAACTGAGACAAATACTTAGTTATTAAAGAAACATAAAATCAAACATTAGCAATGTTGCCTTAAAGATAAAAACATAAAATCAAACTTTGTATGAAATCACATACATCTCTCCACATACAGATTCAAAAAAGAGTTTGACATCAGCTTGAGCAACTTGGGCCACATCAAATACCAAGAATCAAATATAAGCATCATAAAACACCTATAATTCCTCAAATTCATCAAAGAATTTTCAATTTTGTTGAGCGAGGAAGAGAATAGAAGCCACTTACAGGAAAACGAATTGGAGTGTGGGTGGGTGTTTTCGTGTTTTTTTCCAAATATTAATTTGACTGCATTTTCATTTATTCAGTCCTAAAGCTTTTTTCTTTTTTAAGGAGTGAGTGCATGGGGAGAAAAATGGAGTGCGAAAATCACTCAACAATAAATCCGCATCTGAAACTGAAATGCATCATCATCATGCACAGGAAGAGACAATTTGATAAGATGACCAGAAGCCACAAAATCATGGAACATACTTGATTAGCAACTTAGTTTTCTGTAACCTCAGGTATACAAAGAGATTTTGTCCTGCATGAATCCTTAAGTTCCCTCCTCTCCAATTACAAACATTTACAAGGAACAAAAAGTAAGTCAAAGGCAGACTATTACAGTTGTATATTTCTTCTTTACAGTGTGTTAATTTAACTCATTTATGATGAAAGTGCAAGCTCGGCCCATGCCAAAGAAGATGCCTTGAGCTCAATAGACACCGATGTGTCGATTCTGCTCTCCAACATTGTGCATATTTCCTGCATGGAAGGCCGCTTCGTGGGCTCTGGATGGGTGCAAAGATTCACCACATCACATAAAACTTTGAGGTCGTCGTAACTGAAATGTTTCAGTTCAGGATCCACCACGTAAGGCATCACCTCTGGCAACTCAAGATAGTCTTTGGCCTGCAGAAGAGAAAAGTCTAAGTTTGTGGTGCACAACTAGGTTAAACTACAGTTCTCAGTTTACCTCGGGAGCAAATTTGACAAACATTACACGTCCAGAAACTTACTTACCCATTCTATCAAGCACCCTTTGTCCTTGCAGTAGGGAGGCCTGCCACTGATTATTTCGAGCAAAAGTATGCCAAAAGCATAAACATTGCCTTTAACATCCAGGTGGCGTGCTTCCATAGAATTTGGAAGAACACAAATAGCACCTTGGCTGCTAATAGAGCCCGAGTTCTTTTCTGACCTCGCCAGAATTGTCTTCCAACTCTCAAAATCTACCAGCTACAGTTGAAACCAAGAGTGTTAATCTTATAGCCAGTGACTCTTATTCTCAGTCACAAAGATTTATGGAATTTTCATATCTCTGAAATGACGTTTCAGCAAGTAAAAGAACAAAATGGGAGTTGAGAAATTTGAGAAGTTTTATGGCATACCTTGGGTAAAAAATCTTCTGTAAGATATACAGCACTAGAATTTAACTCGGATATGGTAAATGGTGGCTCAAGTTCTGTGTGAAAATACTTAAGTCCCCGAGCAATTCCTATAACAATTTTCATGCGCCGTGTCCAACTTAACTGGCATCCTTCTCCATCTGCAGCAAAATAAATTCTGGTTAGACATCACGAGCCCTTTTATAGCAATTAAATGTGGTTAAAAGAAAGGAACTTCACTCACAATGGAGGTGCTCATACAGTGTCCCATTTGAAGCATATTCAAAAACCAGCATCCTCGTAAATGGGGTGCTCTCACTACAATAACCCAGTAATTTTGCTGCGTTCTCGTGATTTAATCTTGCCAAATCTGTCACCTCTCTCTGAAAATAGAGTTCAAGATAGCCTGTCCAATGCTCCTCCTTAATGCAAAGGGATATCACAGCAATCTCAGGCCCACCTTTCATCGTGCCTTTGTAAACCAAACTATCAGGCGAGGAGCCAATAATGTTGCTAAAGTCTTCACAGGCTACCTCAAGCTCTTGTCTGTTGAATCTGACAACATCTTTCAACATCTCGGAATCTGTATAAAAACCGCTAACCAAATTAGCCACTGTTGTCTTTCCATAAGCAGTTAAAATTCAATTGCACTGAGGCAGATGCAATAAGTAACAAACCTATGTAAACTGCAATATGATCTTTTTCACTTGCTGATTTCTTCCAAGGAATTATGATAGAAGATTTGCTATTGCATCTCTGAAGAGCAGTGAAAACAGCAACAAGAAAGAGAGAACAGACCATGGTTCCAGTCACTATTTCCAGAGCCAACAGCCAGGCAGGTTTTGAAGTCTCCTGGTGTTTGGGGGCATCTTTAGCAGGTTTGTTCTTAGGGTTAACTCCTGGATGTCCTTTAGAGGGTGACACACTAGCTACAAAGAACCGACAAAAGAAAAGGTCACTAACTACAACACAACAATCAGTATTATAAAAATCAACGAACATTGAGTTGAGAAATGTTCAAAGTACATATTTAGTTAAAATGCGATTAAAAAAATTAAATAGCCACAAATAAGCAATTCCAGCATCATTAAATTGAAATTAGGTTGCTCACTCAGAAAGGAGCATATGAACATTTGTTCACCCTTTTTGTGTTCGTTATCCATTTTAAAAGTTTCTTGCAACCACTAAGCATGTATAACCCTAGACAGTTCATCGACTTAAATCACACAATTATGTCATGCATACCACATAGTTCTACAGGACGCTGTTTGGGATCCTCTTTTTGGAGACAATTTCCTTGAAAACTTGACCTGCAAGCAATAACGTAAGTAAATGAAGGTGCACACGTTGCATGCAATCAAAGGATAACTTAAGCAATTTTCAAAACACGTATGCAACACAAATATGAGATTACACTACTACTTGACAGTTGACACAAACATGAAAATAACACAACCCACTAACTAGAATTATAAATGGATCAGATTTAGTTACAAATATGAATAACACAATTTTGACACAACAAACTTGTTAATCTTGCAGAAAAAAATTTGGACCTTCTATATTTGTTGATATGGGAATGTAATGTACGCGCAATGATTTTGGTTTAGAGATAAGAGGGGTCCTAGTTTTGAGTATTTGTCATGTTCATATCATAAGATGTGACACTACAAATACACAGGTTACGGTTGATTAATGCTGGACATGAACACCAAATGATTCAACCTAAACATCACTCTTGGTTAGGAAAGTACCTGGGAAGATACTCCAAGCACTTAGGTATGTTACCAACAAAGAAGTTGAATGAGAAATCTGCAACTTTTAACTGAGATGATCGACAAAGGCCCGTTAAGTTTGAGTTTGAGGCGTACCTGAAGCAGAAACAAACTATGAGAAACAAAATTCCAGAAATAAAATCCTGATTTTTTTCCATCTTCAACGCTTTTTTTAGCTTAAAGGCATCTGTGTCAGTGTAAATACAAAGCTGCAGGAACTGTTCAAACACTTCAGCACTGTGCTACTTACATTCCATGGAGGTTAGAAGGTAATTTTGTATAGCTATTGGCAGGAAGAGTTCCTTGAAGCTTATTCCTATCCAAATGAAGTTCCTCAAGGTATGCCAAATTGCCAAGTTCAGGAGGTAGCCTACCGGATAACCCATTTGACTGAAGATTTCTGCAACAAAAGTAGTAATTCCCACTATAAGAGAAATCCCAAACCCAAAAATTAAAGTATCATTCAGAAGAACGAATATTAAATTCCTAGTACATTTTCACAACACTGGTTAAGTTCCCAAGCTCTGGAGGAATTGGACCAGTGAGTTCATTCATCCCCAAATCCAAGATCCTGAGGTATTTTAACAAGCCCAGCTCTTCAGGTATTATCCCAAGCAGCTTGTTCCCATGCAAAATTCTATAAAACAGAAAGAAAAGTAATCAAGCTTCAGTCAAATTAGATTGAAGTTAAGAAAATAGAATTTCAGAATCAGTGTAGTGGGTGAAGCATACAGTTCTTGCAAGAAGCTGAGTTGACCCAAGTCTGGTACAAGAAATCCCCTTATTGATGAACCCGAAATGTTACTGCAAAAATAAAATAAAATCCAAAACAAAATGGCAGGACATGTTACAACAAAGTCTGTACCGTTCATTCTAAAACTCCCCTCAAAGGGATGTAATTGTGGAAATATTATACTATAATCTAGCACTAACATAGACAATGTCATATCTTACATCTTTAGAACATGGTCTCGAGACAGAGAACATGTAATGCCGGTCCATCCACAAGGATCCACATCCAAGGAATTCCAATTGGACAAAACTAGATGTGGGTCTTCATATATAGCTTCCTTAAACCTTGTAAGGGCCCAAACTGTGCAAAATCCAGTTTTCACTCAGAGAAAATCTACTAAAACAACAAATGGGCAATTAAACAAATAAACATACTAAATCGTGTTCCTGTAATTTTCATATGTAGAGCTAGCTAATCTAGTAAGCTAGCAAATAACATAGTTGAACATTTCAACCAAACTATCAATACGGTTATATAGTGATTTAAGTAGCACGATCACCCTCACACTACTTCAAGACTCACTCTCTGTTGGTTAAGGAAGAAATCAAACACAATCTTGACTCCTATACAATTTTCCATCGACTGTAAAGATAGGAAACTTCTTAGCGATGGTAAAATTTTCTGTCAATTTAACAACACTAAACGCAAGATTGACAATCAAATTCTTTTGTTCCCCCACACTTGCTTAGCAGCTAAATGGAGATTTACAGAAATCAAGATCTGAGAAACAGAGTGACTAAACAGAAACACATACCTTCTTTTGATGCAAATGATTCACAAGCCACAAAAAGAACCCCAGATACCAAGCACAGAAGCTGAAACGAGGCAAATGTTCTCATTTTTCTCTCAGTTTTCTCAACACAAACAGAACCAAGAAGAACTCATCTACGCATCACCCAAAGAGAAGAAAACCCAAGCAAAAGGAAAAGGAAAAAGAAACCCAATGGCCTAAAGCTCGGGACTTTGTGAGAGAATAAAGCCTACACCAAGTTCAAGATCCTACTAATACTGTAAATCTCCTTCTACTCACTACAATGGGGTTGGCTTAACCAACAAAGTAGAAAAAGAAATGCTACCCAGAGATGAAAAATATGTTAAATTGTTGAAACAAATACCACTGAGTTCCAAATCCAAGGTTTTGGCAACTACCCACTAAAAAGTCCAACACAAATCAGTGGCCAGTGTGGAAACTGAAGCAAAATTTGGAAGCTGAAAGACACCCCACAGACGTAGACTAAAAACTTGGATTCGAAGAGAGGTTTGGTAATGCTGCTAGTAAAAGATTAGCCAGAACGAAAAAGCAAAAGAAATGGATAACAAAAGCACCCAGAGAGAAAGAGAGAGAATATTTTCTTTAAAAATGGCGGTTCCAATTTTCTTTTTCTTTTTTTGTTCTCTGCTTTTTTTTTCGCTTTTGATTAGTGGGTTTTGATGTCGTGGGAGTTTTTGGATCTTCGTTGTTGCCAACTGCTAAAATTTTGCGCTAACACTTGACGGTAAACAGGGGCTGCTCACTGGTAAATTCGAGTATACGATATATCGGTCCCCGAGACATCCGAACTGAATATCTCGCCCTCTGTTATATGGTGTGATGCGCACACTGTAAGAAGGTAGGCTACATGAATCAGATCAACGCGGTTTTGGATCGGACGGATAGGATTACGAGACCGCTCGAAAGTAGGCCCAAGTTGCTGATCCTACTTCGGTTTCCTTTTTTTTTCCTTTAAATATAATTGGAATTTGGTTGTTACACTTGCTTTTTAAAATTAAATGGTCGACGACATTTTATAAAATAATGAACACAAAAAATGGTTGACCACCCAATAATAAAAGATCAAAATAAAAATTGTTGACCCCATTGGTTGGCTGGATTTGCTGTATGTGTTTCTAACCTAGAGAGAGAAATTATTTTATTTTATTTTTTAATAAAGGAAGCAGCTAGGAAGGAGAGGAGAGTATCATTAAAATATTTTTTTTAGAAATTAAAAAAATTAATTTTTTTAAATGCTTTTTTAAAGTAAATATATATATATATAAAAACTGAGGGCTTAAAACACAAACAGCAAATCATTGCAACTTATTTTCCTAACGCGCAATGCGACCTATCTGCATGTACCACGTGAAAAATATATATATATAATTAAAAAAAAAACACATATCTTTTAGTTTATATTAACATTCACCATTGTCTTCAATAAGTTTTTTTTTACTTGTTACACATCTGTTTATTATTCTATTATTTAATAATGAGCCTTTTTTTTCTATCAAGTAGTGTGTGTGGAATTTAATTTTTATTTTTCGGTCATGGAAAATCAAGACAAGCATTTATTCCGTTAAGTTTTTTTGGTTGTTGCTAAAGTTAGATAGGGAGATGATGTTTTTCTCACACACACGACTAAGATGTTATAGGGATTCAAACATGAGACGACTGATATGCAAATTCAATGTTATTTTTCACTGGACTAAACCATCGTTAGCATTTATTCCTTTGAGTTTGATTTTCTATAAAGTCCTTTCCGTGAACCAAACACTTAAAACAAAACTTGCATAATATGAGAATGAGAGAGTGAAACATGTAATAAATGGAAGGATAGTTTTGGATAATTGCATTGGCTGGTAAAATTACTTAATTCAGCAAAACAAGCACCTTCCGGTATTTGCGGCAGCAATCATGTGCCTTTAATCTCAGAATCACATCACTGCACCACTTCCCCCTTAATTATTAGCACACGATACGACGTGCCTCCTCTTGTCGTTTAATAATGTCTTAATTTTTCGTGAAAATCTCGTGAGACAAGCCGTGAGTCTCTGTGTGACTTGTTTTAGCCTTTTTTTTTATTTTTTATTTTTTCTGACCAAAGTTAGGAATGGAATGGAGAAACTCACACACGCAGATACTATGGAGGTTGGAATCCAAAACTACTTGGGAGCAAACCAAGGACGCCAATCCAACTAACACCCCATTGATTTTAGCCTTCTTCTTTGACATGTATAGTTTTTTGTCATGGTCAGTTTCACTTTTACCTCCTCTAAATAGCAAAATCAATGCCCTAACCTTTATTTTGTTCTTCAAATTCTATTACATGAAGAAAAAAAAATCCAAAGGAAAAAGTTTGGTTCTAAAACATTTTCCAAGTAATTTACTTTGTCATTTGTGCTACTTTTTTTTTCTTTTTTTTTTTCCTTTGGCCACCTCTGTGATGCTTTATTATTTATTAAACCCTAATTGTAGTATTGTTTTGAGTTTAAGGTAAGTTACACTTGAGACATACAAGCATTAGCATCCAACGGTGGACCCACTTTAAGTCTTGAGGCCAGGGGTTCATGGCTCCAAAAGCTTTTAAAACTCCATTAAACAAAGGGAAGTAATGTAAAGGAATACTTCCACATCTTTTATTTGTGTTTCATGTTTTGGCTCTCCCTCACTTATTCTTGGCATCAAAAGAGGAGTGAAGCTCCAAATCCAATAGCCCTTTTGTTTACTTTTTGTTTGTCAAGACAAATATTGATCATGAAATTCAAATATGTTTTTGACCATGAACAAGTAATTATAGTTATTTATTGACTCGTGTGTTTTCAGCAATATTTCTTTCATTGATAGACCGCGATACGTAAATCACGCCTCTATTCAAAAATGTGATGTTGCCGAGTGAGTTCAAGTTTAAGTTTACAGTATGCCTTGGACTATAAAAATTTCAAACTGACGTCAATGTAAAATTAATTAAAACCAATCATTTGAACAATAGTAGTACTGCTATTTATGTTACCGTACGGCCATTGACTCATGGCATGCCTGCACCCTTCTTTCTCGTTGGACTTTAATTTTTGTTTTTCTCCTTCCTTGCGACTGTATTTTTATGCGTCTGCCGTCTCATTCATTATCAAAACACCTACAAACAAGGGCAGTCAAGTCATTTGCCCATCCTTTGAGTTCTTTTTTATCTTCTTAATTGGTTGAGAAAAAAGTCATATTTGAAATAATTAAATAAATAAAAAGAGGCCAAAGAGATTGAAACTTCTTATGAAGTTAACCAACATCCAGTTGTTCTCCATCAAGCTACAGCATGTGATCAATCAAAATATTCAAAGGTTTTGAAATACACCAACCACCCCCACTCTAGATTGTGTTTTTGAATATTAAGAATCGACAAACATCTAATTAATATTGGTGCATCTGGGAAAATTTACTAATAATGTGTAAAAATAATAATAATTGCACATGATTAGAAACACAAGTTGTTAAATGTGTGGACCAAATATTTATTTATTTATTAATATTCCAGTTGCTTGCAGCTTATATTATTATGATATTCTATGATTGCCTTTTATGTTTTGGCTTGATGAGAGTCATCTTCTTTTATCGTCCAATTTGGATGTGACATAAGAAGTGGACGTTGTTTAAGCATCAAGGGTCCTCCTCCCATACAAAGCTTCCAAGCAAGACTCTCTAAAAAGGGATTTGAGTAATTTTAAAGGAATGGAGAGAGAGAGAGAGAGAGAGAGAGAGAGAGAGAGAGAGAGAGAGAGAGAGAGAGAGAGGAGCCTCATGATTTTGATTTTTGAATTAAGACACTTCGCATTGATCAGAATTCAAAAGTGAACCAAAACCCATTTCATCTTCAACAAACAGGTGTCAAAATGTTACTAAATCAAACATGATCAGGCACTAAAAAGTGAAAGAGTCAACAGACTATCGACAAAGCCCTCACATTTCATATAGAACTTAGGACAAGGTGGGCCCTCCAGAGCCTGGATTTTTTTCTTCTTCCTTCCTAAGTAGGAGAAACTCTCGGAGGAGAAACACCTTGTTGCAAGGGGTATAGTACTATTTTGCTGTCTCTTTTGACTAATAATGCTATGACATACGTGATAATTTTTTCACGGAGCATAGTGTTATTGACGGAAGATAGTAAAATAGTGTTATCTCTGTTACAACCAAATTTTCACCCAAAATAGAGCTAGGGTTTTCCTCTCTATGATGGTTTTGCAATTAAATTGATTCCCTCAACACCACCATACCACATCATTTCATCTTTTTCTTTCTAACTTTCTCTTCTGATTTTATCCATTTTTCTTATCTGAATTTGGACATTGTGAAGGTTAAGAACATATTTAAATGCCAAAGCTTAAGTTGATGAACTCAGCCAACAAAATGGGACAAAAAATCTGAAAATAAAATAAAATTTTGGGACTTGTTTAAAATTATTAATCCTGAAAATTTTGGAACAATAACTATTTTGTATGTTAATTATACGAGTTAGTTTTTGGGTTAATGATAGGGTAAGTTTTTGGGTTAATGATAGGGTACGAGATTATCTGTCTTCATCAAAGTGGATATAAGAGGAAGAACGTTCAACGTTTGGTTAAACTTTAGAAAGCAAGAAGAGCTCCTTCCTTGCGTTGGGTTGGTAGCGACCATCAAGGTAGCGTACAGAAACAGCTTGCAAGTGGTTCCACCAATACATGAAATATGAAAGTGACTTTACATTGAAAAGATATTAATGTACCCAAAAACATATAGAGGTGTACATTATGTAAAAAGTAGCTATTTGGACCACCTCAATTTATCATTGAGAGAACAATCTCTCCATTAGAGTTAAGAATCATAAGTTTTGTCATCGGGGTCTGGTCTAATGAAAAAGTACAAATAGTGGTAATGTTTATACTTAGGGCGTTAATGTGTGTGTTTCGAATGGTAGTGTTGCGCTTGGAATAGTAACGTATTTGTTTGAAGACCTAAACTATCATTCCTAGAGGTAAGAGAGTAATGCACTAATTGAACGATGTGAAACTGCGTTCGCACTGAGTAAAACTGGTTAATAATGGCAATTCCTGGTGAATTACTCGAGTGTTGGCAAAGCAATTAACATTTTTAAGCCACGACTTGTGGTCGTGTGGCCACCTAATTGATATGCGGAGTATTTGAAGAATACTAATCACTGCATACAAATATTATGTGTATTTTAGTTCTACATGGCAATGTGACATGAGAAATTTTTATATGTTCCGGGTACACCACGTAACTAATGTACCATTCAATAAACATAGGACATGTGGAATTATTGTCTAACTTACTGCATTTCTTTTTGTAACATGTGGCCTGCTGCATTGCAAATATTCCATGTCTTTCGTCTATTGAATGATACACCAGCCACATAATGTACTCGGAACACCCAAAAATTACTCATGTGACATGTGATTTTTCATTCTCTTGTACGTGGAAACAAATATATGTGTGGTGCACCAAAGCTGCTCCTGTCGCTTCGTTATTAATGTGTGAATTTAATGAAGAGAGACTGTCAAATCCACATGTCGATGCCCCAACTACAATTTCTTCATCCCACCCTCTGAACCAGAATTCAGAGCAGGAAGAAGACGACATCTCTCAACCATTCTTCAAACTTCAAACAGCAGGTAGACATGGATATACATACGGTTCTTGTGGGGAAAGATATATTCATATTGGTTCCTGATTGGCTAAACACAGAATTTTAATCTGATGGCTCTGGCTTTTTAATAGAGAACCACCACAATTGGCCCATGAATACGACATTGATGCATTAGTAAAAAATTCTGAACCACAGAGACACAGAAACATGAGACTGGAACCATTATAAGTTCCGAGTCTCAAGTTCAAATCTCATGGACGGCAGTTGTTATATCCATAAAGAAAAAAGAAAAAAAAACATTGTACAAGACTGAACAATGGCTTCCACACCAAGTTATTTAGCAAAAGTTTGTCCTTCTAGGGTCCGATTTAACTCATTAAATTTTGGACCATTCACGTCTCAGTGGTCCCAAATGCTGGTAAATAAGTTAGCTCATTTAATTGTTAGCGGTGCTCTGCTTAGTACATCAACTTGCCTAGTATGCCAAGCCATATAGTACAGTGGATCAATGAATAGCAGACTGATCACTGAAATATCACAAATTGCTACAGAAACAATGGAACTGCTAGAATTGGATGCCTTTCGTGTCCTTCCTTTCCCAGTATTAACTGTAAGAACTGAGAAAAAAATCTAGCAAAGAAATTCTTACCACCTAGAAAGTTTGTCAATAAGTCTTAAAATTATATTTGGTTTTTATAGATCCTTTCATCCACACCATGAAAGTGAAGGAGTGAGTTTGATTTGGTGTTTGTTTTTGTTTCTCCAAATTTCATTGGGCCAAGCTCAGGCGAGCTAGGCCTTGCTTTTAGCTTCTTGACAGTAAATTCACACTTGGCCCATGAATATAACCTAAGGATTTTCTCCAAACTGTGAATATATATAACAAGCTTTTTTTCTCCCTTTCAGTCCTCAACTTTATAGGGCAAGGATTGCATTCAAGCATATATACTATGTCTCTCAAAAGTTAGCGCTATAAATTCCTATCCGAGTCTTGCCTATTTAAGGAATATAGAGGAGGTATGCGTCCTCTCAGCCACCTTGACTAATCACAGATCAGCTTGAAAGTACCCCACATCCCCCCATCAGTTTATTATGAAGAGAAGAATCAAAAGGATTGAACAGGAAGTTCTAAGCAATTTTTCTCTCCTATGCCTATGGCTAAAACAAACAATGAGTGAAATAAGTACATACTAAAAGAGGACAGCTTGTAAAATGTCTCAAGGTATCAAGGGAAAGAGAGAGTTCACAGACAGACAAGAGCAATGTTACTTCATTTTCGGTAGGCATCCCATAGGATGCCTAGATCTACATTACCTCCAGAAAGTATAATTCCTATGTTGCTGCAATCCTTCCAAGCAGAGTTTTTCTTGAAACTATCGGACAATACAGCAGCAAGGCCTATTGCTCCGCTAGGTTCTACTGCAACCTTCAGAATCTCATAACAGAGTTTCATGGCGTGTATTATCTCCTTGTCCTCCACTGTTATGATGCCATCGACAAGATCTCTTACTACGGGCCTGGGTGCAGTGAAAGAAAGATTGAGTTACTTAAGGCAAATTGCCAAAAACATGTAAAAGCTCATTTGATACTGAGCTAGGCAAGATAAATACCATTTAGATAAAATGAGATTTTCCTTTACCAGGTAAGATCTCCAAGAAAAGCTCGAAGACCATCTGCTACAGTGTTGGTCTCGGGCAATGTTATTATCCTCCCAGCTGCTTTGGATTGAGCTGCATCGTTGGCTCCCTCAGGCTCAGCAGCTAAAACTCGAATTGCATGGTTGATGGACTTGGCAGCCAAAGCCACACCTGATATCAAGCCACCTCCTACGCACCCACCCACAAACACACATATATCAACGCCAGAAAACAAAGCTCAGAAGTCAACAACAAAAATGTGAAGGAACAATAGTGGACTAATTTTAAAAATGATGATTAAATGTAACTGAACCAACCACTTATGGGAACTATAATAGTGTCTAACTGTGGAACTTGTTGCTCCAGAAGCTCCAATGATATGGTACCCTGCCCACTGCAAGAACATTTAAACATGCCATAAAGGCCCTAACTCCATTAGGTATGCTAATGTATGGTACTGTCCTCACATTACTTTAATAGGAACTATGATATTGTAAAACAGTATCGAATGCATTCACCTACAAGGAAGAAGTTTCGTTAATGCATCTGAATTGTTTAAGTATTATGAATTAGGCTAGGTAATACTAATCAAGGAGTAGCCGAGGTGATATTATAATATATATATATATATATATATATATATATCACCATAAAATTCAAGGCAGCATCTATGATTGTATTTTCAAGAAAATATGGTAACCATGACACACATATCGATCAACAGTTTACAACTCATAATATGATTTCGGTTTGGTCATTCTTTAGGTAAACACACGCACACCCTCACAGTAAAGCAACCTTTTTATGTTGTCTTATTTTGTATCAACACAGTAGACTCTGAAGATACATCCTAAGTTTCAATAATATTGATACAAAACAAGGTCATCTTTATGCAAAAGATTTCTACTCTTCCCTCATCAAGGGCCAAAATTCCAAACATATGCAGTTAAAACAAATGAAAGTTGCATGTGTACCTTATTATGCGCATATCGTTATAAGGATGTAGAAGAACTGCGCCAGTTTCTTGCAACACCTTGGCTGCAGTACTTTCCCTTGACTGCATTGTGGGCTCACTCCAGATAACCTGACCACCGTAACGAATGACATTCTCAACTTTGCATTTCGGAGCATTTTTTGGTATAACTATGTATGCAGGGATTCCACGTAGTTTTGCAGCCAAAGACAATGCTGCAGCATGGTTACCACTGAATTTGGAGGACAATATCACGTGGTAATCCCACAAACTGGTCAAAGGAAATACCCATGAAAGACAAATGAGCCAAAAGCAAACCTGCTGTGTGTTACAACCCCTTTAACAGCCTGATCATCATCGAGTGAAAATACAGCATTGCAAGCGCCTCTGAATTTGAAAGCACCACTGCATAGCCACATAATAAGAAGTCTTACTGGCTGAGGAAAACTAAATGAAGTCCAAACCAATCTAGGAAAGAAGTAAACACTAACCCCTTTTGAAAACATTCACATTTGAAAAACAGCTGCCTTCCTGCAAGAGCATTCAAAGATTCAGAGGACAAGACAGGAGTTTGGTGTACGAATGGCTTGATGCGTGCTTGTGCTTCCCTTATAGAGGAAATGTCAGCAGCATATTTTACCTCCCTCATTTGACTCTCTGCTTCCATCTTTATACCACCAATAACAAAAACTTGATTTTTTTAACTGGGTAAGAAACAATCACACTGAACTTTTAGCAACACGTTCAACAATCTAAGAATTTAAAGAGATAATCAAAAGTTCTCATAAATCAATCAGAAAAAGTTTAAATTTTGAAGAACATGCAATGAGCTAAAATGAATCACACCCATTAATTCCTGGGTGTTAAAGATTATGCTTTAAAGCCTCTTTTTCAATCTTACTTCCCACAAATCACTTCAATTTTTCTGTAGCAATTAAGTGTTCAATGGGTTTTTGCATTTTCATCATAATCTGGAGCAGAAATAATTATATAGACTTCGATAATTCATCAAAGAGAGAAAACACAAGGAAAGAACTTTTGAGAGTTTCAACTTTCAAGAACTTACACTGTTGAGCGAATAACCAAAACGCCAAATTTCCCAGCTGATTTTTTTGTTCTGCTCCGCTATTTTACCAGTAAGCAACGCCAACGGGCATCAAATCATCTTATAAAAGAAAAACGACAAGTAAAGTCGCGTCGTGTGGTGAGGGCAACTAGTGGAGTCGAGAAAACGACCAAAATTAGCCTACGTTTATGAGTGTGACTGATACAAACTAAACTAGGGGTGGGCACGGTTCGGTTTGGACCGGTTCTTGGAGAAAAATGAAACCTGATCCAATAGTGCAATCCGGTTCGGTTTGGATCGGTTCTGCTCAATATCCATACAGAAATTCGAACCAAACTGGACCTGTCCGGTTCCGGTTCGAATCCAACGGTTTCGGTTTTTATTTTATTTTATTTTTATTTTAATAATAATAAACAAACCTGCCTCAAATGAATTTATATACTAACATACCTCAAATTTGAGGTTTTATCAAGCTTTCAACGCATCAAAATGAATCTAACTTTAACAAAAATGCAATCCAAATTCAATCCAACTTTAACATATAAATTACAACCCAAATTCAATCAAACTTCAACAAAAATGCAATCCAAATTCAATCCAACTTCAACATATAAATTACAACCCAAATTCAATCAAACTTCAACAAAATAAGTTCCAAAATAAATTACTAGCCAAATACAACCCAAATTCAATTCAAATAAACATTACAACCCAAATTCAATCCAACTTCATTAAATTCCTCCTAACATTGAAAAATAGTTGGAGCTATGGTGCTAGGTGTGGATGAACTTATAATATCTACATAAAAAAAACATAAACCCATTAAAACATTAGTCAAACATACATATTATATAATACATTAATAAAGCATATAAAATTACAAAGACATACCTAATTCAATCGATTCATAGAACTCCATCTCTTGAATTGTTGGCTCATATTGTAAAGAGGAAATGTCATCCGACCTTAACCAATTTTGAGAACAAATTAAGGCCTCCACAATCTTAGGAGTCAAAGAAGCACGAAATGAATTAACTACCCGACCACCCGTGCTAAAGCATGATTCCGAAGCCACCGTTGATACCGGGATGGCAAGCACATCCTTTGCAATAAGTGCCAACCCCGGATACTTAACCCCATTCAATTTCCACCACTTCAAAACATCAAATTCATCAACCACATCTTCAATAGGGTCGGTGATGTACCTATCAATCTCATGCTTCAATACCACAACATCATTTGCTCGAGTCTCTTTTCTCCAATTTTCGGTCATTTGCCTTCGTTTCTTTCCCCCTCGGCTACTACTTGTACTCATTGTAGTAGTATCACTAGAACAATAACTACTACTTTGAGTAGGTGGTGGTGGTGGTGGTGGCATGGCATATTCTTCATAAAACTTCTTTAAAATCTCTTTGATCTCATTCTTCTTCTTAACCGCATCTTCCGGGTTTTCAAACTGGATTTTCAAGATAAACTCGAAGTTCCCCAATTGTATCGAGGGTCAAGAACAAGAGCAACCGTCAAAATTTGGTTCAATTTATCAAGGTCACCCCAATACTTTTTAAACTTCATCTTCATGTTAAGTATCATGTCCTTCAAAACCTTGGAGGTTTGGGTTTCACTTAATATTTCCTCCTCTTCCATCAACAAATCCTCAATTTCTTCTTCCATTGCAATCAAGTCATGAAATGTGGTGTGGGAAGCGGGATGCAAAGTGACACTCATCTTCAATGTAGCATCATAAAATACCTTCAAAAAAATTCACAAAGGTACGAGCATTGTTCCAATCTTCATTAGTTGGTGGTCCTTCCCTCTTTCTAGGGTAATGAGACATAACCACCCCACTTCAAGATCCGGTTCATCTTCACCAAACCAAGAAATATATGGGCCTTCATCATCTTCTCCCATTCTCCAAAATGCTTTTTCAAACTTTAAGGCAGCTTCCAACATCATATATGTGGAATTCCACCTTGTTGGCACATCCAACACCACAAGCCCTTTGCATTCAATTTGCTCTTTCTTAACACAACTCTTAAAGTCCTCTAACCTTTTGGGAGAAGATCTTACATACTTCACAGCATTTCTTATACACACTATGCTTTTTTCCAACTTCTTCAACCCATCACGAACTATCAAATTCACAATATGAGCACAACACCTAATGTGCATATACTTTCCCTCTAATAAAAGACTACCATTTCCCCAATGACCCATTTTCGACTTCAAGTAATCTATAGCCTTTGTGTTTGACGAAGCATTATCGGCCGTGATGGTTAATATCTTCTTCATATCCCAATCAAGCAAGCATGACTCAAGAAGTTTACCAATTGAGTTCCCCTTGTGATTGGAAATCACACAAAAGTTCAAGATTCTTTTGTGCAAGTTCCAATCACCATCTATGAAGTGTGCCGTGATGACCATGTAATTGATGTTTTGAACACTTGTCCAAGTGTCCGTTGTGAGGCATACTCTATGTGGTGCTAATTCTTCTTTCAATTTTTGTTTCATGGCATCATACATTACCATGAAATGCCTCACAAGTGTCCTACGAGATGGCACTTGGAAATGGGGGTTCAAAGAATTACAAAACCGCCTAAACCCTTTTCCTTCAACCACACTAAACGGCATCTCATCCATTACTACCATCTCTACACATGCCTTTAACCACTCTTCTTTACCATGCATTGTTGATGTAAGAACCCCATGTTCTTGGTCAAAAGACAAGAGCTTTTGCCGTTTATCTTTAGGAACCCTCCCCGGATATTTCTTACATAAGTTTTCAATATGTTTCCTCAAATTTGAGGTCCCATTTCTAGTAGAGTCTGCTGCATAGCTCATAGTGCAATACTTGCACCTAGCTCTCTTCTTAGTGGTTGCATATTTGCTCTCATCCTCCTTTACACTCTCAACCACTTCTTCATATTTCTCAAAGTGATCCCATACTTCCGATTTTTCTCTTTTTAGGCCGGAATGAGGTAATGGTGGAAGACCACTCGGTTGAGATGGTTGAGGTGTACTTTGAGTTAGTGTTTGAGGGTTAGGTAAAGTGGATGAAGGTGTTGAAGAAGATGCGGATGCGGATGTGGATGTGGATACGGATGCGGATGATGAACCAACTTCACTATTAGTAGTGGCATGTACCTCTCCAAATGGGTTTGACTCATTCATGATTTCTTTAAGAAACAAAAAAAAAGCAACTTAAATATGATACTAACAAAAAACAAGCCCTCAATTTAAAAAAAAAAACAGAAAATTAAATATTATACAATCGAACTAACAAAACAAAACACTTGAGTAAAAAAAAACAACTATGTCTCATTTCCCAATTAAATGTGATGCATATACAGGCATTAATCAATTGTATGACATGTATTAATACAAGTTGTACATATTAATACAAGATGTACACATATTTATATTTACTGCCTCACATTAATACAAGCTGTACATTTTAATACAAGCTGTGCACATTAATACAAGCTGTACATTTTAATACAAGCTGTACATTTTAAAACAAGCTGTACATACAAGCTGTGCATATTAATACAAGCTGTACATACAGATATAATCAAAACCAATTATCATACAAGCTATACATATTAATAACTATCAAAACCACAATTACTGTGAATAACAAATAAACCATGAAGATCATTCAGCCACACAACCTTAAATCTTTTCAACTTGAAACAATTTCCTTTTATTTTTTTCAATTCTGTCAGTTGATAAAATCTGACCTAAAATCAACTTGTGAGTACAAAAATACAAACTAAGAGCCTAGCCTAGCACAAGAATATCGGGTACGATATCCATTGGATTGGATGAGCATCAATTAGCAAATGAACATGGTTAAACATCCAAATTTCAGTTGCAAACATCCAAATTTCAATTGCAAAACATCAAAATTTCAGCTGCAAACATCCAAATTTCAGATATAATAACATACAGATATAATCAAAACATACAAATATAATTAAAACCAATTTCAGCTGCAAACATCCAAATTTCAGTTGCAAACATCCAAATTTCAGTTGCAAACATCCAAATGTCAATTGCAAAACATCAAATTCAAAATATCTGAGAGAGAGAGAGAGAGAGAGAGAGAGAGAGAGAGAGAGAGAAAGAGAGAGATGAAGAATACTTGAGATAGACAGAATTGCTGCTGATGGAAGCTGTGAGAAAATGATGATGCTGGTCTGCGTGCAAAATTGCACAGACAGAGAATTGAGATACAGAACAAGAAGAAACAGAAAAAAAAAAAAAAAAAAAAAAAAAAAAAAAAAAAAAAAAAGAAGAAACAGAAATCTAACCTGTGTGAGTGAGAGAGACGGCGGCGCGACGGTTGAGAGAGAGAAGAGCGATAGAACGACGGCGGCGACTGGAAGAAGAGCGACGGCAGAGAGGCGTGACGTGATGGCTGAGACTGAGAGAGAAATAGAGGTTTGGAAGAAGGCTCAGGGCAGCTCTGTATGAATGAAGGAACGAAGAAGAAATGAAATCGAAGAGAGGAACGAAGACAAAAAAACCTAGGTCGTTCAGTCAGCGTCTTTTTTTTTTCCTCTGTGATGCGCGCCTATGGTAGTAGCGTAGACACCCAATCAAACTTAGCCAAGTATAAAAATATTTATATAATTTCAAATATAATATAAAAATATATATATTAATTTTATTGGACTGATTCGGATTGGACAGGTTCCTTAGGGTGGAAAACCAGAACCGAAACCGGTCTGAACCGATTCAGTTTGGATTTTTCTCGATTTTTGACTTTTTCGGTCAACACGGTTTTTTTCGGTTTTTTCCGAATTGGTTTGGTTCGGTTTTACGGTTTTGCGGTTTCAATGCCCACCCCTAAACTAAACCCTAAACCCTAGGTTTTCTACGGCCCCAGGCAAATTTTCTCAAGTGTGCCCCTTTATACAAATTAAACAAATTAATTAATAAATTATCAATTAATTAATTTTATTAAAATTATAAGAATTTACAAAAGATAAGGAAGAACACTTTAGGGCCTCATTAATTTAAAACCTTGTTTGGGGAAAACCCAATAGGACAAAACCCCAAACGAAGGAAAAAGAGTACCCTGGATTGTAAACATTGCATTAAAAAACGAAAACTACATATTTGAGTCTACATGCTTCCTCCCGAATCTCCATAAGCATTTCTTGATTTGATCAATTTTCTTTTCATCCTCCACAATTAATCGAAGCAAAGAATCATCACATGTACCTACAAAATAAAAATAGCAATGAAATCTGAACCACAAAACATAATTTAAAATGTCTTCTTGTTGCACTTTTAGATGCAAAATGATCAATTATACTATCATATTTAATGTTTTCTAACATATCATTTTCAATGCATAATATGCTAATCCATTTAGCCTATCTTGGGTCATGGTGGTCCGCAAGTAAGATTTCAATAATTTTAATTTAGAAAAACTTCTTTTAACAGATGTAACAATCACAGGTACAGTCAATAATACCCTATAAGCAATCATTACATTAGGAAACATATCCACACTCTTTACAAACTCAAGAATTTTAATGGATGTTCATGGTTTATCTGTTTCATATGCTTCTTTTGGTAACATCACTTGCAACACCTGTAATTATGAAAATAAGTCTCTTGCATCAACATCATAAACATCACCATGTTTTAAAGCATTTTCAAGATTCACACAAAAACTTTTCAATTCATTATCATCAAACGAAGTCAACTTTGCAGCATCAAATAAGAACCCAAAATAGATTCAAAACAATGCAATTGTTCAAACCTACTCTTCAATTCACCAAGAGCAATATCCATTATAACAAGAAAATAATCAGTTCTAAATGATTCTTCAGTTGATTGTTGTTCCGCAAAAGAGTACCCCGGATTGTAAACATTGCATTAAAAACAAATTGCTTGCGTTGCGTTATGAACTGAGAAGGTTGAAGGGTTTTTCCTTCTTTTTGAGGCTGAGATTCTGTTTTGATTCCCCATATTTGTTGATTTGTTTTATATTATATTTTATAATTAATAAGGGACTTCCTTACTCAATACGTTTCTTCTTGAGATTGAGTATATAAAGACTGATCGGATTAATTGGCTTCCCTTTTCATTGACAGGTATAGGCGGCAACTTCTTTTGTTTTAATTTTTTTTTTATACACATATATACATAGGCTTAAAAAAAAATTTGGGTCCCTCTCAGCTGTGGCCCCGGGCTGTAGCCCTGGCAGCCCTGGCCCAAGGCCGCCTCTTGCACACCTTCACACATTATTTATTTTATTCGCTAAATTACTTTAGGAGATTGTCAATTATTTTAGCATATTATTTTAGAATATGTATCAAACCGATAAGATTTCAAATCTATATGAAACGCCACATTAATCTTGAAAAATTCATTCCTCGCAAAAATTTAGTCGTCATCCAATTTTCCCCAAATGTACAAATGCATTGCTCTCGCTTCTTTCAGATTTGAGACTTAAGTACTATAAAACCATTTATAATACAATTCCAATATTAAAATTAGAAAGGTCAAGAGCACTGCTAATTCTAATACGTAAAATCTATAATTAATCACCCATCTAACTTCCAACAGACTTGTGTACTATCTTTCAACGGACTTTTCCTCACAAATATGTAGAGATCCTCATACACATTTCTAAATGAATCCTACCTATGGCAGGACTCTAGAAATGTTTTGTCAATATCCAGACATGGTCAAACTCAGTCAAATCCACGCAGATGTCATAATGAAACAAATGGGCATAGAAAAATGAGATTTTAATAAATAGGCTCATTCCAGCATAACATATTATACAAAAATCCTTATATAATCTATTTGGAGAGAAAAACCAAAATTAATCATTTCTCATTTTCTCATTGGTTCTTGGTGTGTTAAAATTTTCAAAGAAGCACTTAAAAAATGACAAGTGGCTAATTTTTAGATTTTTTCTCCAAATAAACTTTATATGAGTTTTCGTATAATATATCATTCTAAAATGGACTTATTTGTCAAAAACCCCTATAGCAAACTCGTAAAGCAGTTGGCCCAACATGGTTTGAGTTCGGCTCGTGTTGAGCTTAAAAGCCCTACGTAAGCAACAAAAGGAAATCTTAAGAATACAACAATTGATCACGAATTGAATTTCCTCAAAACGTTTTTTGTTTAATTACTGTGAGAGAATTATGTTTGTGTGAATGGCATGATTTTTTTTTTGGCAAAAAAACAAATGACATGATTTTTTATTTATTTATTTTAATATTAATGAAATTGAGGAATTCAAACTTAAAATATGTTTCGGTGACAGAAAAAAAGATACTATGAAAATAATGTTTACTCGAGTTGTTGGACAGCCGGTAGAGCCCGGCCTACTCCATTGCCCAAAAGCTTAAAAAAATAGACGACGCCCCATCTCAAACACAATTATTTCATGTGCGACGGTCCCCACAAGGTCAGGTAGGCAGGGGAATCCATGCATTAAAATTTGCAATTGAACTTGGTGAGCCATGATCTACTAGACAAAGGCAGACCTAAAAGATGAATAACATTTAATAGATGGTATGGCCGTCGACTAACATTTAAGTATTTATCAGTACAAACCCAGAACGAATCAAACAACAAGGTTGTCAAATAAAAAATAAGAGATACAAAGTACACAACAGCTTCTGCGTTTATATGGTAGGGCCCTCAGTTTATCACTTCATCTTCTCCACTTCTACTACCAATACTACTTCCACATGACCAAGCTTATGGCATCATGAAAAGAAAACAAACACGTGCCCATGATTGTAGACAGCTTTAGTCACCATTAGGAAACTTGCAGGACTCTTTTAGGAATTAGGAAAATTAAGCACCAAACTTGGGAACCTTAGCAGTGGAGATTTGTGCAAGGAAATGCTCGGCCACAATTCGACGTTGGATTTTCCCGGTTGCAGTTTTAGGAAGAGAGTCAGTAATGAACGCCTTCTTGGGTACTTTGAAAGAAGCCAGATTCTTCTTGCAAAATCGCAGCACTTCTTCCTCGTCTATGCTTGTGCCTTTTCTTGGGATTACGGCACAGTTAATCTGCAGATTACCACATAATACATAAATAATTAAGAACAATTACTACCAGAAACACGAATACAAATGATATCATATAATGTAGGCACCTACCTCTTCACCATATTTATCATCAGGAACTCCAAAGGAAACTCCTTGCTCAATTTCTGGATGTGACACAAGCACTGCATCTACCTCAATGGGTGATATCTTCTCCCCTGGGACAATCAAACAAACAAATTGTGAGCTAAACTTATCTCACGCATTTTATCAAACACTTGGGCTTCAGTTTCTATTAGTTCATTACCTCCGCGGTTAATTAGCTCCTTGATCCGACCCACGAGGCTCAAATACCCATCAGAATCCAAAACGCCGATATCTCCAGTATGAAACCACCCGAACAAGAAAGCCGCTTTGTTGGCTTCTGGGTTGTTTTTATACCCCTTGGTCACATTGGGTCCTCTGATACACACCTCGCCGTTCACGCCCTCTGGCTGAACCAAACCCTTCTCGTCCAAAATCGCCAGCTCCTGACCCACGGCTCGCCCGACCGACCCGGGCTTGTGGGGCCCATCTTCGGGCAACGGGTTCGAACACATCAAATGGGTCGCCTCTGTCATCGCATAAGCCTCCAAGACCGGCGCGCCAAACGACTCTTCCAGCCGCGCCAATATTGACGGAGCCAACGAAGAGCTGCAGCTCCGAATGAAACGGAGCTTCGGGTATTTCGGTTCGGGTTTGCTGTCATGGCGGTCGAGGATGATCTGGTGGATGGTGGGTACCGCGGTATACCACGTGGCATTGTACGAAAGCATGTCGGCCCAAAATGTGGAGGCGGAGAATCGGCCAGCGGCTGGGAGAGTCACGGCGGCTCCGGCGACGAGTGAACTCAGTAACCCGGCGATTAACCCGTGCACGTGGAACAGAGGGAGGACGATGACGGTCGAGTCAGACTCTGTGAGTTTGTAGACCGATTTGATGTTCTGGACCGACGAGGCCAAATTGAGCTGGGTCAAGGGCACTCCCTTGGGTCGGCTCGTGGTGCCGGACGTGTGGAGGAAGAGTGCCACGTCGGAAGCGTCGTTGACGAGTTGCGAGACCGAGTCGGGGCTCGACTCGGCGGTGGAAGAGAGAGTCACGTGGCTGGTGGCGCCGGCCAGCTTGGCGGTCACGTGAGGGATGTTGAGCTTGGTGGCCGCCGCTTTAACCGCTTGAATCGGAACCTCCGGCGTGATCAGAAGCTTCGATTCTGAGTCGGAGAGGTAGAACTCGAACTCCTCAGCCGTATAAGCCGGGTTCAGCGGCGCCGCCGTTGCTCGGCACCGAATCACCGCCAAAAACATCACGACAAGCTACAGAAACAAACACAATCTTATTTAATTTTTTTTATAAGAAAAACTTGATTGGTTTCCGAGAAAGTTGAGGAAAGTGAATGGAAAAGAAAATGTTGCAATTCAATACCTCAACGGTGTTGGGGAAGGTGAGCGCGACGGTGTCGTTTGGGCCAATTCCGGAGGCGATTAAGTGAGAGGCGGCGTGATCGACGAGCTCCTGCAGTCGAGCGTGGGTCAAATCGAATTTTCCAGAAACGGAAAGCGCACGGCGGTTCGGAAATTCCGAGGCCACCTTCTTCAACAAACCTGTTAGAGTTTGATTTTCCATTTTTTCAACAAGAGAAAATTTTGAGAAAAATAAATAATGGTTTGAGGAGGCAGAAGAAATAATGGTTTGAAGAGGAAGAAGAAATGAGGTTTGAATTTATAGGATTGTGGAGAGTGGGGGTGGGGTTGGGTGGGATGTGGTGGCGGCAGGAACCGGGAAGATGACAGTAGACACGTGTCGCACTGACGACGGTCAGTTTGAGTGTGCCGCACCTCGAGAGGTGCAGTTCCACGTATCTTCACCGTGTCGTTTTGCATGACACGTCATCGAGTTGCTGGGGTGGGAGACGTGTTTGGGCCCACCGACGGGATTCTTTAGGAGTGACAATGGGTGAAATCGGGATGGATATACCACTAAAGGGAAATTTGGTATTTTATTCAAATAAGAATTCAAAATTTTGATTTTTCTTAAAAATAAAAGTTTTTAAATCTATTTTTAAAATTTAAAAACTTGTTTAATATGCAACTTGAAAACTGTTTTCAAATATTAAAAATTTGAGAACTTGCAGATTGTTAGAAAAAAACTGAAAAAACATATATTTTCTGTTTTTAATAATTATGGTGTTTTTTAGTTGTTTTTTTAGTTTGAGTTTTTAAAAATAGAGTTACCAAACATATTTTCTTTGTTTTGGACTGAAATTCTGTTTTTGAGTTTAAAAAGTTGGATTCAAGTTGAATATCAAACAGGCCCTAACATTCCCACACCCGTTAAGCTTTTTTTCCCATCTTGCCTTCATAATTGCAATATTCATATCGAGGATTCCTCATTCTCATCTTCATTAGGAAATAGGTTCTCCAACCCATCTCATTATAAAAGAAAGAATCACTAAAAAAAGAAATAAAACAAGATAATATATATATATATACTAGTTTCCGCGCTTCCGCGCTTATGATTTATTATATGATTTTCTTTTAATTTTAATTTTTTAATATGTAAAGTGTGAATTTTTCATATTATCCTCATTTAATTAATAAATTCAATTCTTAATGTTTGTATTAACCAAGGACATTTCCTGGTATTTTGAATGTTTTATCATTCTCTACCTTTTGTTTTACATATATAGACTATATATATATATAAATATAAATCATAAAAATGTTTACATATTGACCGGAAGTTAACTAAATATATAAGTAGTGTAGCTTAAGATTCGTATAAATTATATAAATATATACCATAATAATAGGAAATATAAAATTTAGTCAGCACAATCACTTCAATATCATATTTATATATACTATAATATATATATATATAATGAGATTTTTCAAATCATTTTATTTGAGGGACACCCTTTAAGGTTTTCTGTGAATTTTTTTTCAATGATCCAAACCATCTATTTTTAAAGTCTAAATTTAGAGATCATCCTTGCAAAAAATTAGACAAATCGGAACTGTTTTGACATTTAATTGTGTCCTACAAAATCAATGAATGCAGTGTTTCAAGAAAGTACTAAAATTTGAATAATTCAATTGAGTGGTCAAATGATATCGGATTCAATTAATTTTTTATGTAGAAATAATCTTTGAATGAATATTTACAAAATAAATGTTTGGATTAATGAAATACAGTACAGAATAGGTCCTATAGATGTTTAGATATATATATATATGTATATTCTAAACAGGGAGAGTTCGGGTCTGGAATTAAAATACAATCCTCGCCTTGCCCCGCCCTTCCTTGGACACCATACCCAAAAAATTCTCCATATCTGTCCTTATACCCATTTTTTTAGAGATTTTTTATTTAAACCTCACACTTCTTTTTGTTCATCTCAATACTTAAATCATTAAGCTGTAAGTTTTATTATTGTGTAAAAAGACAAAAAAAGATCATCCAACTTAATACTTAACCCTAGTACATCTATACACATATCCCACCACTCTCCATATTAAGTTTTAGAAAAATACAAACTCCTCTACATCATATTGCCAGATTATTCTTCTCTTTTAAATATGTAGAACATTGACGAGCTTACCTATTTAAAATCTGCATGAGAGCTGATGGAAAAGTTCGTTGATTGTTTGGTGAAGGTATTTGCTATTGCATTTGTCTTGGTTTTGTTTATAACATGCTATGGGACCAGCTTTATAATGAACAACTTCCAGTGGCTTCCTGAACATTCTTTTTTATACATTGCTATTGCATTTGTATTGGTTTTGTTTATAACATGATATGAGACGTGATAATAAGAAAACCAATGGCTTCTTGACCATTATGTTTTAATTATCACATTTAATTGGAGTGCAGAAACGTGATAATAAGAAAACCAATTGGACCCAAGACAGAATTGAAAGGTGTATAAGATATTGCAACTAAACAAGATTCAAATTGTTTGTAATTTGTTTCGTAGGAAGAAATTAGAAAACCCGTCAAAGCCTTGCCTTATCGCATATAGATTTTGATAGGTAAAGAAACAGCCACATGTATTCTTCAAATTTCATTCCTTTTTTCAACCTCCACCTTATTATCCCCCACCTTCCTCAACCACAACCTTCTTCCAACTTCCTGTTTACAAACTCTCTCTCTCTCTCTCTCTCCCCTCTCTCTCTCTCTCTCCCTCTCTCTCAAGTTCTTAGAAATTGTGAAAATTTAATTAAAAGTTGGGGTGAACTTAAAATATAAGATGAACTAAGAGAAGTGTGGGATTTAAATAGAAAATCTCTTTTTCTATATTTCATACTTGACTTATTGGGGTCAGATTCCTACAAAGACCTTTACCCACAAAGAGAAAATTGTCATCCCTAAATTTGGTGGGATACATAGGCGGCGGAAGGAGAGTCCGAAAGAGGCGTTGGGTTATGAGTTCGCTGGTGTTGTGGGCCAGCCCATAAGACAAACGTGATGCTTCAGAACTCTATCAAGTGTTTTACGTGAATTTTGCTTCTATCTCTTTTTCTTAATCTCGATGCTCCAATACGTATATGACTCAAATTTGGTGTTTTCAAGTTGTGAGACGGTCGTGGTAGGGCTCACGCAGCTCTTGTGGTCCAGGACTCGCCCATTTGGGCTTTTGAATTAAATTCAACCACATATGTGAGTTTGGAAATGAAGGAAAAATTTTAGTGTACAAATGTTGTGGCTCATTATATTTGACCGACATACAGGATTTGGTGTTATAATTTTTTTGTTTTATTTTTTATTTTATAAGATCCCGAGGATGCGGGAACATGAACAAAAGACCGTAGGAGTTGGGACCAGCCCTTGCTTCGCTCATGCGTAACCGCGTGAAGCGAGCGTGGAATATCCGAGTTGAGGGCAACCTCATGTTCCAAGTGTCCAGAAGCTTAAAGCCGTCAAACCAGAATTCAACTACACTGGAATGGATGGTACAAAGTCCTCCAGCTTTTAATACTTTTGGAGAACTTCCAGCTATCAAGGAAACCGTGAAGTAAAAGAAGAAAAGATAGACCACTAATACTAAGAACCTAATAGAACAGGCAATGCCCATGCCTTTCTTGGTTGGACCAGCCCAACCGTCGATTTAGTCTTCCTGAATTGGGAGAGCAAGCACAAGTCTCTTTTTTTTTTTA